GTTCTTTTAATCTGCCAATTCCACGAGTTTAACAAAGATGCTTAACCAAACTTAATATGTTTAGCATGAGGAATTTTTCCCTAGGAAGTAGACACCAGTGGTAGGCCGGTGCCGAAACAGACCTCAATCACAGCGTTTCCCTGTTCGTGTCGCCCTGCGTGGGTTGCAAGGGGTCTTCACCCAATTTCAGCACAAGGAGAGAAAGGGGAGGGTCTCTTGTCACATCTGGTGGACTGTGACTGTGTGGTCCAGGACCATGACAGACATGACTGCTGGTAGGACCCACTTCCACAGAAACCCTTGGAGCGCATTTGAGCCTCTTGTGCTAGGCAGTGTGTGCTCTGGGGTCTCACTGCTGCCTAGAATGGAGGCTCTCCTCACTGCACATTCTAGGCACCAGCCTCTCTGGTAGTGCTCGGGTGCTGTGTACCACAGGATAAGGATGGCATCGATTATGAGCCACTGATGGGTCATCCTTTCCCTGAGAAGCCAGGAAACAATTGCAATTCACCTTTCCTGAAAATTCCAGTTGCTTCCTAGACAATGTGATGAGAAAGGACCCCTATTGTTACTTCAGCTGCTCTACATTAAGAGAGCAACTCAGGGGGCCAGAAGCTTCCAGTCTGTTCCTCTGCATCTCAGGTTCTTTCTGACAGAGGCCCAGGAGGACGGCAGTGCAGGGCCAGTACCCAGTTCATCTCACCTCCAGCTGTAATCATGGAGACCAGGACAGGGCCCTCAGTGAGATGGCAGCTTTACGGGCAGACCTGGGTGGTAAGACCTGCTGGTACCTCAGCTGCAACCTGCACAGGGCCACGGAAGAGATGCAAGATCATGTTCCCGAGTTGAAGAGCAAGGCAGGAGGTTGTGAGAGCAGCAGCTCGTGAACTGGGCTGTCACTGTCCCCTGGTGGCTTTGTTGGGATGCCATGGCTGACTGTCCCCCAATCTTTACCTTGCAGTTTTTAGGAGGCTGGTTTGCAAATCCAATTTATAAGAATGGAGATTACCCCGAGGTAATGAAGACACGAATCCTAGAAAGGAGCACGGCCACAGGGCGCAACGTGTCTCGGTAAGGTCCTGGTGCCACATGGAGAATGCATGGCTGTTGGTCAGAGATGTGTGTGTGTTTGTGTGATGGAAGGTAAACAGGGTCACCTATGTGGAGGGCTGTATCCAGCACCCAGCTCTCCTGTGTGCCTGACAACAGGCAGCTGCTGTTACCTTGCTGCAGAACAGCCAGGACAGTGGTCTTGTGAGCACCCACCTCTCAGCAGCCTTACTTACTACCTCACTCCAAGCATGATTTCCCCAGTCCATGCTTGGCAGTTTCATCCCTCATGAGGGAATCCAAAGAGCCTCCAGGGAGTGCCAGGCATGTGTTTCTGATCACTCAGCAGCAGGGGGCAATGATGTACATCAGGACACCCCCTTCCTGACTCACCAGGCCTTCCTGTGCAGGAAGAGATGAGAACATCCACAGTTGAGGTGGTCTTTTGTTCGTGCAATTCTTTTTTTTTTTTTTTTTTTAAGATTTATTTTATTTTTATTGGAAAGGAGGATACACAGAGAGAAGAGACAGAGAGGAAGATCTTCCATCCGATGATTCACTCCCCAAGTAAGCGCAACGGCCGATACTATGCCGATCCGAAGCCAGGAGCCTCTTCTGGGTCTCCCACACGGGTGCAGGGTCCCAAAGCTTTGGGCCGTCCTCGACTGTCTTCCCAGGCCACAGGCAGGGAGCTGTATGGGAAGAGGGGCCGCCGGGATTAGAACTGGCGCCTATATGGGATCCCGGGCGTGCAAGGCGAGGACCTTAACCACTGCGCCACCGCGCCGGGCCCTGTTGGTACAATTCTTACATAAAGTTGAGTACACAGAGTCTCAAAATTTGGCACATGATTATCAAGTTAGGTAATGAGGAAGCTGGGATTTAAAACTAGGCTGTCCACCTCCAGGGCCCACACTGACTTTCATAATATCCTAGGTTGGCATTCGAGGCATGGTTGCTTTATGAAAGGGTCCAAGTGCAGACATGGGCCTAGATTTGTGATAACACATACGGTTCTAGAAAAAGCCATATGAACCCCAGCAGGTGAGAGCTGAAGCCATAAAGAGGGTACGAATTTCTTTTAAAGCTTTGAGTGATTCTGTGAAACTCAAGAGATGAGACTTGAAATTCTTAGTCCCACATTAAGCTCCCACCCTGACATGGCTAGGGCAAATCCAGCTGAGAACAAGCAGTGTCAAGGTAGTATGTGCCAGCCCTGGTTTTAGCTTGCTGGTGAGTAGATAGCTCTGCATCACTCTGCTGAGCACCCACTGTGTACCAGGACAGAGCCAGGCCCAAGTCTGGCTCCTTCAGGTTGCGGACAGATGCACAGGGAGGACATTGTTCCACAGAATTCAATCCCCAGTTTCCTCAGTGTGGGATCAGGGGGTGCTGGGTAGACCAGAAGTCCTCACGGACAGAGCAGATCATCAGATGAGCTGAGACTGAACCATGAAGAGAACTGGAGTTCATTCCATCTAAGGCGTGAACAGGAGTGCAGCCTGGAGGGAACAGTGAGGGGCACATGTTCAGCCTCTCGTGGGGCAAGCTGCCCAACAGCTGAGAACCAGCTGGACACCTGGCAGAGGGCCTTTGAGCCACAGGCCCTGAGTGCCATTGTTGACCCCTCACGGAGTAGGGAGCATATGAACAGTGGTTTTGTTCCCTTCCAGCTTTTCAGAAACCCCAGAAGAGGGAAGCTGTGGATCCTTGAGCTTAATGGCAAAATAAGAAGTTCAGGATGGAGGCGTGGGAGGCCTGAACTTGTCAACAGGAAGAGGCTCTCATCACTCCTGTAGCTACACTGTACTACCTGAAAGGTCCCTCCTCGTTCCTCCCAGGGCCCCCAGTCACTCCCCTACCCTACTCATGACATTGTCTCCTCAAAGCATTTGATTCTTCCTGAAGCCCCACTTACTGGCTGTTTCTGCCCAGGCTCCCAGAGTTCACAGAGGAAGAGAAGAGGAGGATCAACGGCACCTATGACTTTTTTGGGTTCAACCACTACACCACTGTCCTCGCCTACAACCTCAACTACCCCAACATTCTCACCTCCTATGACGGAGACAGGTAAGTCAGCCAACAGGGCCAGGTGTCCCTTGGACCATTTGTTAGTCTCAAAAAGGGAATGATGATGCCTGCCAGCGAACTTATCAGCTAAGGTCTCTAACAAGCTGACCAGAGCTGGAGTTCCAACACCTTAAGGCAGATGTTTCTTTTTTTAAGATTTTTATTGGAAAGGCAGGTTTACAGAGAAAAGGAAAGACAGATCTTGTATCCACTTGTTCACTCCCCAAGCAGCCACAATGGCCAGAGCCGAGCCGATCTGAAGCCAGGTGCCGGAACCTCTTCCAGGTCTCCCATGTGGGTGTAGGTTCCCAAAACACCTGGTCATCCTCCACCACTCTCCCAGGCCACAAGCACAGAGGAGGATGGAAGCAGAATAGCTGTGAAACAAATCAGTGCTCCTGTGGATCCAGGACATTAGCCACTAGGCTACCGCGCCAGGACCAAGATGTGCTTGGTTTCTGGAATTCCCTTTTAGCCAAAATAACTAGAATCTTTAGATGTTGTTTCAGTCAGTAAGTCCTTGCTTGGCACACACCAGGATCTCATGTGGGCACTGGTTCTGGTCAGGCAGCCCAACTTCCCATCCAGCTCCCTGCTTGTGGTCTGGGAAAGCAGCTGAGGACGGCCCAAAGCCTTGGGAGCCTGCACCTGCGTGGGAGACCCGGAAGGAGCTCCTGACTTTGGACTGGCTCGGCTCCAACCATGGCAGTCACTTGGGGAGTGAACCAACAGATGGAAGATCGTCCTCTCTGTCTCTGCTTCTCTCCGTATATATGACTGTCCAATAAAAAATCTTTAAAAAAATTGTCAAATGAAAGGCAGACTTACAAACAGGAGACACACCCACCCAGAGAGGTCACTTTTCCACCAGTTGGTTCACTCCGCAGAGGACCACAGTGCCAGAGCTGAGCTAGTCCCAAGTTAGCAACAAGACGGTTCTCCTCCACGGCCCCAATGTGGGCACAGGGGCCCGAGGACTTAACCATCCTCTGCTGTTGTCCCAGGCCATAAATAAGGACCTGGATCGGAATTAGAACAGCCAGGATGTAGGCCAGTGCCCAGATGGAATGCCAACGCAGCAGGTTGAGCATAAGCTTGCCACACAGTGCTGATCCTACTCAGCAAATCTTGAAGTATGCAATACATAGACTCCTGGGACACAGTGAGTCAACAAGTGGCCAAAGTATTTTTGTGTTACACAAATCATGCATGTTCCTATGGGAACACCAGAAAACAGGCATGAGGTAAGCGTATGAGCAGTGGCAAAGGTGTTGCTCAGTAGGCCCTCCCCTTTATTCCAGTGCCTGCTTCTAATCCCGGCTTCTCTGCTTCAGAGCCAACTTCCTGTGCAGCAGGTGGTGGGTCAAGTACTTGGTCCCTGCCAAATGCAGGGGAGAGCTGGACTGTTATAAGCATTTGGCTTCCGGTCCAGGACTGTGTTGGTGGCATGTGAAAGAAAAAAACAATATGGATGGAAGATATTTCTGCCTTCTAAACTGAAAAAAAATTTTCCATGTATGTTCATATTGTTTTTCTCAAAAGCATCTTCCCATAAGTAGCTCTGAAGTCTACCCGTGTTCATCCTTTGATTATAAGGCTCTATACCCACACGCGTCACTAGACCCTGAAAACACTTACCCCAGTCAGGCTCACTGAGACTGGAGAGGCCCCCCCAAACATCCCTGTTTGTTCTGTATCTTCCTCCCCATACAACACTTGGTGCCTCTCAGTCCTGGACCTCCCTCCCCAGGAACCCCATGTGACCTTACCAAAGCTTCTCATTTTCTCATTGAGTTCAGCTGAGAATGCTCAGTCTAGGCACTGATCACACATTTCCTGAGTGATTTGGAGGTAAGCAGCAGCTGAATGGCTGGTTCTTAATGGGGCTGTGGGACTTGGGATATCACATATTTATACACACCCTGGCCAGCAGGCATTCCTGTGGTGAAAGTGTTTCTTGCTTTGTGTGTTACTGGAGGGAGAGTTCAATGTTAGGGACACTTAAATCTTTATGCAGCTGGTCATCACACAAGTGAGGGTCCCACTTGTGGCCTGTGTGCGGTGTTCACAGACAGGTGACTCAGGGGAGCTGCTTCTCTGAGGACACAGCACTTGCATCCCCAGGAGGACTGGAGCTGGTGACCCGCACAGCCACTCATATCTAGTGTCAAGTGTCACCTGTGAACCGGGACCACAGTCAAGACCTTGCTCTGCACAGGCAGAGAGCTCCCAGAACAGAGAGCTTCCAGGGCTTCCTAAGCTGCAGCAGCACTGGGGAGGGCAACTAGAAGGGGAAAGAGGAGACTCTGGGGCAACTTGGTGCTCTGACTCTGAGTCTGGACCAAACTTGAGACTCCTCTGGAGTAAATCCTGTTATGGGTGAAGGGTGTCTTAGGATGGATTAATGGAACAAAACCTAATCTTCAGTTTTTGAACTTGAAGGGGAGTTGCCTCCATCACAGATCGCTCTTGGCCAGACTCTGGCTCCTTCTGGCTGAAGATGACACCTTTTGGCTTCAGAAGGATCCTGAACTGGATAAAGGAGGAATACAACAACCCTCCAATTTATGTGACAGAGAATGGGGTGTCTCATCGGGGAAACTCATACCTCAACGACACCAGCAGGGTCTACTACCTGCGCAGTTACATCAACGAGGCGCTCAAAGGTAGGCCAGCCCAGCCCTTCCTCTATACTCCATGTTGTTAAGTTTATCATTCTGCCTTTAAAATATTTAAAGAGGCAGAGAAAGATAAGCAGGGAGAGCACTCTTGCGTCTACTGATTCATTCACCACCTGGACACAGTCTGGGACATGTGGAGTGGCGCTCCCTCTAGGTCTCACATGTGGTCAAGGACTCAGCACCTGGACATCTGCTGTCACACGTCTGGCAGCAAGGAGTTAGGTTTACAAAGAACAGCCAGGACTCAAACTCACACTGCTTTGGATATTGGTGGTGGCCTTTGCAGTGTAATCTGCTATTCCTGTTAAAATGAACCTTTGGGATGGCATCTTCACTTACTCTCACCAAGCTTGGTATTTTTAGATTACCCAAAGGGGCTAGCTTGTATGTGATTCATCAATGCAAGCCAAAAAGGGAGGGTCACTAAGAACTAATGCTAAAGTTCACCTCAACCCAGTCAGACAAGGCGGACCGCACAGGGCTGAGCTGACACCCGGGGCCTGGCAGAGGAGACTGCAGACAAGGAGAGCTCACACCTGGCCTCTGTTTGCACAGCTGTGCGGGATGGGGTGGACCTTCGAGGATACACAGTCTGGACTCTGATGGACAACTTCGAGTGGGCTACGGGTTATTCTGACAAGTTTGGTCTGCATTTTGTGAACTACACCGATCCTTCTCTGCCAAGAATCCCCAGAGAATCGACCAAGTTATATGCCTCTATAGTCCGGTGCAACGGCTTCCCTGACCCTGCACAAGGGCCCCACCCTTGTCTCCTCCAGCCAGAAGGTGAGAAGGGGCTGTGGGAGGGACAAAAGACCAAGGCTGAGGGGCCTGGCCGAGGGCTTCTTTCAGCCTCTCTTCTCCAACTGATGACCTTCCTCTCCACCGCCTTCAGTCCCTCAGCCAATGTTGAGACACTGCTGGGATGCAACAGTGGACACTTGGTCTCATGTTATGCCCCAAACCTGGAGCCTTGGAGTGGGGACAAGCAGGTCTAGATCCTTGTTCCAGGCACCCCCTCTCCATTGACTTGCTGTGTGACTTTAAGGAAAAAGCTAGGCAGATGCCTCTGGAAGTGGGAAGCGGCAAACACAAGCACTGGGAAAGTGCACTGAGGGCCTGGAGAGAGAGGGGCCCAACATGGGCTGAGGCGGGAAAGTGTAAATGACTATTCAGATATTCTATTATATTCCAACTGTTTCATGGGCCATTAGAATTGAAAATTCATTCAGAGGCTCTTGGCACATGCCAACAGGGGACAGGCATCGTCACCTCAGCAAGGCCTCACCCCATCTGTGTGGATCTGACCCTCAGAACCCCAAGTGCTCGAGGGAACTTGAGAGGGGTCCCTGCCTCAGCACTAGAGCACTAACTGCTCTCTGTTGTCCTGTCCTAGACTCCAGCCCCACCGAGAGCCCCAGCAGAGAGGATGCGGTCCAGTTCCTGGGGCTGTCGCTCGTCCGCACGGAAGCAGAGACGGCTTTGTACGTCCTCTTTGCTCTCGTGCTGCTTGGAGTCTGTGGCCTGGCATGTCTGTCATACATGTACTGCAGGAGGTCCAAGAGCAAGAAAGCACAACAGAACCAACAGGAAATGAGCCCTGTTGCTGCATTCTGAAGTCACGCAGGCCTGCTTCCTGTCTCACCACTGTGAGATGACTTGGATCTCAAGGGTTTTGAGTTCTGGTGGAAATGGGAATGTCTGCACATTGCCCCAGTACTGGGAGCTCTCTGAGGCCTCTGAGGGACCTGCTGGAGGCCCTTCTGGACATGTGCAGCTACTGATAGGCTCTGAACCGCCTCATTAATTTCAGAATTTCAGAAGGTGAAATCCTGAGTTAAAGAAACCACAGAAATCCTAAGAAGAAGAAATCAAGTGTACTGCGAAAATGGACTATACCTTCATCTCTTGCTCCCTTCAAGCCTCAGACATTGTTTCCAGAAAATAAAAAGGGTACTGTGCACAATATCTGATCTCCTATGTTCATCTCCCTGTGGGCACACCAGGAGCTAGATACCCACACATGTCATTTGGGGCCTTTACCATGCTACACGTCAGAGCAGGCTTTCTGCACACTTTTTCTCTGGGGTAGACACCATCAGCATGCAGAGGTGGCATTTGATCTATGCTCAGTTCCCCACCCCAGATGGTCCCATTTCCACTATTACATCATTGCTGCCTCTCCTGTTTCTACTTACGGGAAAGGCAGAGAGATCTTTCATCCACTGGTTCACTCCCTAAATGCCTAAAACATCTGGGGCTGGACCTGGTTATGACCTTGAAAGACAAAACTCAATTCCGGCCTCCCATTTGGTGGCAGGGACCCAACTGCTTGTGCCATCACCCGCTGCCTCCGTGAGTGCAGAGATGTAGAAAGCAGAGCTGGTGTTTTCAGCAAACCTGAACATGCCGAGATAGTTGTGGTGTGAAGACACTGGGACAGGGTGGATGTCGCACACACCTATTTGTGTTCGGCTGCCTACATGCTGTACTGGAGCAGCTGGGCTCAAATCTTGATTCCTTCTTTCTGCTAGTTAAAAGTCACTTGGGGGCAGCAGGGATGGTGCAAGCCCTTGCGTCCCTGCCATTCTCAGGGAGACCTGGATCGAGTCTGGGCTTTAGTTGGTCTAGCCTCCCCTACTGCAATCATCAGGGAGCACAGCAGAAGATGACTCTCTCAGGTTAAATAAACTTTCTTCAAATATTGTCTAAGGGGATAAGAAATTATTTTCCAAAAACATAACTCTCCCCTGGTTTTATAAACATGTTCATGCTTCCAATTTCTTTGATAAGCATTCCTTACCTGAATGTAGAATACAGGTAATTCTTACCACAGCATCTCATTTTGAGTCCCAACTTAGAGGTTACAAATTTGTGGTACCAGCTTGTCTTCTGTATCAATATACAGGAAGTCTGTCAGATGAGGGTGGCAGATACTAAGTTAAAAATCAATGTAGCAATGGGGAGCATTATTCTTTAGGATTGTCATATGAAATAAATTTGAGGTAGATATTGAAATGTAGGCCATTAAAATAGCTTAGAAACAAAATGTGAAGATAAGTGAAGAGAGCCCAACATACATCAATTACACACGAGAACAGAGTATGAAAGAAAACGGGGCATTGAAAACAGGGGCAAGATGCAGGACTGCACAACTGGTAGTGGGTCAACAGATTAATTTTTGAGGTTGTAAGCGATGGACGTAGGATGGAGATGGAAACCATGAAAATGAAGGGTTACAGAAGTATTTTGAGATGGATAATGAAATTACAAGCAACATTCAAGACCCAACAGCCATAAATAAAAATGAGAAATCTGAGTTCCCAAATGTTAGGGCAAAAAATTATAAATGTATTCATTAAGAAAGGAGGAAAAAATATTTACAACATAATGCTAGCAATGGATTTCCTAATGTACACAGGATCTGAATAAGCACTGTGAAAGTTATGAAAATTAAAATTGGCAAAGAATATAATTTTCATAGTTCTGATGACCAGGTAAAATGAAAAGATGCTCAACTTCACTAGTGATAACACGATTGATGTGAACTGCCAAATTTACACACAATGCTGAAAGAGAAAACTTGGTAAGACCAAGCTGGCCAGTGTGGGGACACCACGTTCTCACACCCTGCTGGGAAGTTTGTGCTCATACAGCCCTCAGAGCTGCAGCTTCGGCTTACTTACATTCCACAGCAAGGGCAGAAAGCTCTGGCAGCATCTTGATCATGACCACATTGGTCACAACTTGGCAAGTACACAAATATATCCTGTAGCATACCTTCACAGTGAGAATTATCTCCCCTCAAAGAAGTTCCTATGGCATTATTTTTAATGAAAATACAATTTATAATAATTACTGATTGGGCCCAGCGCTATAGCATAGCAGCTAAATTACTTACCTTGAATACCCCGGGATTCTGTATGGGCGCTGGTTCTAATCCCAGCAGCTCCGCTTCCCATCCAGCTTCCTGCTTGTGGCCTGGGAAAGCAGCTGAGGACGCCCCAAGACTTTGAAACCTTGCACCCTGCATGGGAGACCCGGAAGAAGCTCCTGGCTCCTGGCTTTTGGCTTTGGCTCAGCTCCAGCCGTTGCCGCCACTTGGGGAGTGAATCATCAGACGGAAGATCTTCCTCTCTGTCTCTCCTCCTCTCTGTGTATCTGCCTTTCCAAGAAAAAATAAATAAAGACATCTTTAAAAAATAATAATAAATCACTGAACGCCCCAGAGCTTAGATAAGTAGTTTGTGGTACATTCATCCCAAATCGAACAGTGTGCAGCCACTAGTATGATGAGGTAGCTATGTGTTGACACAGATCTTCAGGACTCTAAGGAAAAAAGCAAGATGCAGGGTAGTAAATATAATATTATCCCATTTATTTAAAAAATAGATTACATATTTACTTATATATGCATAAAAGTGTTCTGAAAATTACATAAGAAACTATTAATAGGTTTCCTCCAGGGAACAGCAGGAGAGCTAAGACCCAGGGAGGCAGACCTCCTATGTTACAGCCTCATTTAGATTTTTTTTACCATGCTTACTTTTTAAAAACGTAACAGTTGAGGAGAGATCCTCCCACGCCAAAGATCATGAACCTTTTCTTGGTGAACCACTGTCTGGCTATATTTTATTGTGTCAAAGGCAAATTGAAATGAGGTACTTTGTTTCTGCAAATTTATTTTCTAATAGTTATTAGTGCAGTCATACCCATTTAACAAATGTTTTAAGTCACCTTATTGCTATATTTTAATCGATGGTGAAACTTTAAAAAGGGATGCTGGGATGCTGTTTTTTTTAACTTTTTAAATTATGGCAATATGATTACTGCAGAAAATGGGAAAAATACAAGGGTGCAAAAGGAAAACTAAATCACATATAACAAACGCTTACCATTAATGAGTCATTTTTTCTTTACATAAATATTAGTACATAGTTCTATCTATATACAAAATGTGAATACAAAGCTGAAATCTTACTGGAATTATAACTCTATATCCTGCTACTTTTTCTATAACACATGACAGGTGCTCAATAAACATGGTAAATTCATGTACCATTTTTCTTTATCAAAAGCTCTATAGAAGGCATTTAGCTTCCAGTTGTTAAATAAAATAAATAATACTTAATATGAGTACCTACATTGTGTTTACATTTGATTTCTTAAAGAAAGATCTGAATGTGTGTTTCTGATAAACATTGTATCAGAAGATCTTAGGAGTTTCCACAGTGTAACCCTCTAGCTGTCTCAGTTTTTTTGACTGCTGCCATCTTATGAAAGTCATTGTTACTTCACAGACAATCACACAAAGTTAGCTCTAAGAAATTCTTTCCCCCCATTATAAAATCAAGCCAGGAGCGTCCTATATGTCCACATACAAGTGATCCCTTTCAATTTCCAAACAGGAATGATCATGCTGACTACTTCTGAAACATCATTACTTTGAGTGGTCTCTATGACCAGAACATATGGATAAAGTAGCATATAAATCAGATTAAGGATCTGTCACATTCTTAATAGCCAAATGAGTAAAGACCTTTCACTAGTTTCTTGTTCTGTACAAGTGCTTTAAGACCTTAAAATGTGATTATCAAGGACAAAACTCAACTATGAAGGAGAGAGAGAACTAGGTTATGGACTTAGCAGCTATCTGTAATAGATAAGAACAAAGACCACAACACCATGCAAAGCAGTGCCTGACTGGCTTAGGAGACAGCGTATCTGGCATTGATATGTCAGAAGGTTTCCTGCCTCAGAGACATTTAAGGGTAGGTGACCAGCTACTTTCCTGGGAGCTTCAGGACCATACTAGAGGGGAAAAAATCAGACATAAAATCTCCACAGCTCTCTCTGCAATCAGACGATGAGAAGATAATAAAACTTAAGGCAAAATAAGATAATTCTGACTTTGGGAAAATAATTTTTATTCAGTTCTTAAGATTAAAAACTACAAGATTTTGCTTGTAGCTAATAAGCAGAAAGGAAAGAAACTATCATCTGACTGGTTACTTAAATTGCTCTGACTCAGTCTCAAGCCTACTTAGTGATATCCTGCTTACTTTGAGGGACTGGAGTCTTTGGAGCAAACTGCACTCCTCAGTCAGCAGGGAGCACAGGCCTCAGGGCAGGGGAGCTACTGATGGAGAAGCTGATGAAGGCAGCCTACCCGAGACATTTCCCTTTAGGCTTGAGAACTTGGTTACCATGTATGCAAGGACCCAGCAGTCAGTGAATATCAATCTTTTCTGAATTAAACAGCCTAACCCACACCCACTAAGCAGGAATAAAGACACTTTTCAGACCATTTGGAAAGCATCAAGCAGTCCCTCTTCTCCAGAATTTTAGTTGAATTAAATCGTAAGAGCAACAATGATTATTGCACATATTATACTTGTGGCACTACATCTGCTGAGTAGAATTTCCATTCCAAGTGTTGTTTTCATCTTCACCATCATCTTGAGTCCTCAATCTGTATATCTTCCCCTCCTTTTTAAAATCTTCCCCACGTTTTTCCAGCACTCTTTTTCTGACTGGTTCTCTAATATAAGAAAAAAGAGACGATGATATAAAATAAAAACAGTAAGACAAATCTCTTTCTTTTAAACTTCCATTATAAACAACTACATTTTAGCCTCACAGTAAGCAAAATCCACAGAAGAGAATTCTCAATAAAGTATGAGACCTTTCTTAGTCTTTGTTAGTTAACTTCACCTTCTTAACCAAACTAGCCAAGTCATATTTCCATGTGTTTCTTGGTGACCTATTAAGCTTCAGCAGAGTTATGACCTCTTATTAACTGACCCTTCCTTTATTACTTAGGCAGCACCTGCTGACATTTGGATGCCCCTGCAGACCACACAGAGCTCCAGTCAGTTGCTGACAGAAATGGCCAATCAGCAATGCTTTCCAAACTATAAGAATGACAGACTTATAAAACGAAAGTTCAAAATAAAATTAAGGACAAACAGGACTTCCTCATTTGAAAATAGGATTTTGTAACAACAGGGCGAGGAGCAGCATAGTATCCCACCTTTTTAGGTATTTATTACATCCTTTGTTTCAATCTAAAATCTTTTCCATTATTGGAAAAAAAAAATTCTAATTCTGGGAAAAAATTTTAAAAAATTTAAAACACACAGAACACTGTCCCATAGATTAGTAATTCTGGATTAAATATTTACATAAATCATCACTATGACAATCAATAGAACAGCAATCTAGGGCTCTCCATCTTGAGAGCATGCAGGGATTCCCAGCACTTGGCATCAAAGACTGGTGTGAAGATCTGATATAATGCCTACTACAGGCCTTACAATGTACGCAACTGGACTAGTCACACACCTAATTATTACAATTTACAAGTTCACCCTTTTGGGAAAACATTTCCTGTTCACCTCTTTCACAATCTCAACTGACAGACTTGAGCTAAAATTGTAAACGTTGTTTGTATTACCACTCTAACCTCTAGTATCTGTGGAAGAAAAATCAGGGCCTTGTGGTTAAGGGATTAGTTCAAAATAACTCGGGCAGAGGTGCCACTTCCAAGAGAACAGCAAGGTTCCTCAACTTGGTCCCTCTTGGAACTGAATAGGTAAAACTGTTATGCAGCAGATAAAGAGCCAGCAGGGTTAAACAAAGCTAAGTAGAATGATTCATCTGAATAAATGATGCAACATGACCAACAACAATTAATGGAACAGACTGTCTTGTGAGGCAAAATACAGGTAGCAAGACAGACACTATATAGTTAGGTAAGAAAATCTGCTTTAATAGTAAACAGGGTAAAGGGAACTTAGTGAAATAACAAAACAAGGTGAGCTTGCTTTCCACAGAAAGATGGCTGAAAAAATTAGGGGAGTGAACTTCCCAGAAGAAAAAGTAATAAAAAAAGTCTCAGGAACGGTCATCTGGTGTGGTTAGGCTACCACTCAGGAAGCCCACCCCCTATTCCAAGTGCCTGGTGCAAGTCCTGGTTACTTGGCTTCCCATCCAACTTGCCTGCTAATGTGTACCCAGGGAAGCAGCAGAGTGTGCTTCAAATGTTGCTCTAAACTACCCACGAGTGAGGCACAATACAACTCCAGGCTCTTGGCTGCGGTCTAGCCCAGCCCCAGGTGTTACAGGCAACTTGGGAGTCTGTCTCCATCTCTCTCTTTTTCAAATAAAAATGAAAATAAATTTGTAAAATGGTTAGAAAAATCAAAACAAATGTGTGTTTTTGTTTGTTTGAAGATTTATTTATTTTTATTGGAAAGAAGGATATACAGAGAAAAGCAGAGACAGAGAGGAAGATCTTCTGTCTGATGAGTCACTCCCCAAGTGACCGCAACGGCTGGAGCTGAGCCAATCTGAAGCCAGGAGCCAGGAGCTCTTCTGGGTCTCCCACCCGAGTGGCAGGGTCCCAAGGCTTTGGGCCATCCTTGACTGCTTTCCCAGGCCACAGCAGAGAGCTGGATGGGAAGCAGGGCTGCAGAGATTAAAACCAGCACCCATATGGGATCCCGGCGCATGCAAGGCAAGGACTTTAACTACTACGCTACCATGTGAGGCCCAACAAATGTTTAAAAACAGAGTTTGAGAATATCTGATTTGTTTCTCTCCAATCTGGAAACTAGTGAGGACATACACAGAAACACAAATTATTGTTTCGAAAAAGGTTCTGAGCATAGTTAAGATAGTTTACAACTGGGAACAAAGATACCTTTTTTCTGATTTGCCAGATGATGCAGAGTTTGAAGTTTCTGGTAATGATGTTCTCACTGAAGTCTGTGCAGGAGGATTACTGAACAAGAAATTACTGATCAATCTCCAAATGGCAAGGAATGGGTAAAGTACTGTCCCCAATAACGTCCAGATGTCTCCACCGGAAGAATGTACAATGGATGAAGTAGGTCTCCCCGCCTAGAAATTTTAAAATAAATGTAGCTTTGGTAAAAATCATTCCTGCTGGTAAACACAATGCAACTATCACAGGGCACCCGCTTTCTCAGAGGGGAGGGTTGTGGGCCCACCAAGGCACAGAAGACCAGCTCCCAGGCCAGCTCTGGCACTTAGGGTGGAATACTGCCAACCATCTCAGCTCTCAGCCTCATTTCTTCACCCGGGATTTTTTAATCTTCGATTTTAAAATGTGAGGACACCTTGGGATGATGCATTTGAAGATTATTATCTTTTTATGTTTGTAAAAGCAAGTAACATGGCAAAGCCACATATAAAGACAAGCATTAAATATGCATGGCAGCTCAGACACTCTACATTTTTCAACATAAAAATAGATGGAGCAAAAGTCAGAAATCAAATCATTTAATACCTCATAGTATCAGCAAAACAAATACATAAAATGCAGGATAACCAAAAGGTATAATTTCTTTGCCTTTCTCTTAATTTTAAGAAATGGTCAAAACTGGAGCAAACAGAATTCTCAAGAGCAGAAAAATATATATATGCAGAGTTACACACACACACACACACACACACACACACACACACACACACACACACACACACATATATACATACTGGCAATAGTACTACTGAAGCACTTGGGGCAAGTTCCAAATCCAGTAATTTCTTTTTATAGTCTTCTTTGGTAAATTCTCTTCTGGGAAACATGGTTGCTAGTGAAAAATTACCGTAAGTGTTGCCAACAGTCTGTAACATAATAGAAAGTTTCAAAAACTTAATGTTGCGTTTTGAAAATAAGATTCTAAGATACTCACATGCATCTAAAACAAATGCTTTAACAAAAATTGCCTTAATTTTTAAAAACTTTATGTAAATGTAAACACAAAAACTGCATTGCAAAAAGTAAATAAATTATCAAGTCTAAAGGTTTTTAAGGCCTCAGCGACTCAAAAATGAGCACAAAATATAGAATACAGTTGCTAAAATAAAATGTTTTTATGGCTGTCATTCATCATTAGAGTTTTTGCTGTACACTGATATGTGGTGTCAAAAATACATACAGATTATAGGAATATCCTATTAAAAATCAGATCAGTCTTTCCTCATAGATCTAACTTTTGGCAGTTTTCACTTCCTCAATTCAAGGCACAAATATTTCACACAATGCCCCTTCACCCTGCATATAACCTCACATTCAGAAACACATATTGGGCAACACCACAACTTAAAATCACTTTTACTTATAAAATCCTTATTTTTTTTTAAACTATACATCATTTACATACTCCTCATGTTTCTCATCCCAACATAAAGACCTACACAAAAATACAAAATGCAGTCCATGCACTAAGGCGGAGTTCTAACACAACATTTTTTTTTCCACAGCCCACTCTTCATTCACCTATGCAAACTAAGGACACAGCAAACATTTAGGAAGTCTCCAGTGCAAAGTCAGCACCACATGGGTACCAGTTCCTGTCCCAGCTGCTCCTATACAGCTTCCTGCGAATAGCCCGGGAAAAACAACAGATGACCCAAACTGTTTGGGCCCGACACCCATCTGGAAGACCTGGAAGAAACTTCTGGTCTCAGTCTGACCCACCCGTGGCCATTGCAGCTTTTTGGAGAGCAAATCAGCAGTCAGAAGATATCTGTCTCTCCTTCTCTGTAACCTATAACTCTACTTTTGAAGTAAATAAGTCCTTAAAAAAAGGGGGGGGGGGCCCGGCAGCATGGCCTAGCAGCTAAAGTCCTCGCCTTGAACGCGCTAGGATCCCATATGAGTGCCAGTTCTAATCCTGGCAGCTCCACTTCCCATCCAGCTCCCTGCTTGTGGCCTGGGAAAGCAGTCAAGGACGGCCCAAAGCCTTGGGACCCTGCACCCAAATGGGATACCCAGAAGTTCCTGGATGCTGGCTTCGGATCAGCATAGCATCGGCCGTTGCGGTCACTTGGGGAGTGAGTCATCGGACGGAAGATCTTCCTCTGTCTTTCCTCCTCTCTGTATATCTGACTTTCCAATAAATAAATAAATCTTAAAAAAAAAAAAAAGGCTGCCTAGATTGCCTTGAACATATGCCCTTTACACTGCTGGGAGAAAGAAAGCAGCCAAGAGGAGTTTGTTGGCATTCTGGCCTGGTCCATGCCATCTGTGTGTGAACGACACCAGTATGCCAGCACAGCTGCTTATTTTTTAATGTTAAATCTCCAAGACCTTGGAACCTTAGGTCCTATGGCAGGCCACTTTTCAGCCACAGTGCACACTGCCACAGCACCAGACCGAGAGGACAGGCAGGTGCACATGCAGCGCAGCACTGCACTAGGCCAGTGTCCTGGGAGGGGGCCTCACTAATGGCCCCTGGTCAGCCAGGGGGAGAGGATCATGCACATGAACAGCACATGAGGAGTAAGTTGGCCTACTCCAGTGAACCAGACATGGATCCTGGATGTTGCTTCAAAAAAGCAAAGTGACCAACAAATTCTGAGTAGTAACAAACAATGCGAGGGGCACACAGCTATTGGCACCGGCTGGAATTTATACAGCTCCCAAGACAGAACCCTTTAGGCGACATACAGAGAGTTCCAAACCCGGGACATGGAAGGCCTGTGGTCCTAATCTGTGCAAAGTAGCTACAATAGATGAGAGGAATCTACATTCTTCAGCAACCCTTAAGGGTTGGAAATCTGACAGGGCAATGAAATGGGACGGGCAGGCAGCTAGCATAGTTACAAATTGAAAACTATACCTCCTCTTCTGGCGTAATATACTCCCGCCTATCTGTCAATCACTGATCCCCTTTGCACTCAGGGGTGCTACCATGTAACCGCTCCATCTTCCAGGCTCACTAGAAACCAGGCAATGAAGAGGGGCACGTTCACTCTTCTCACAGACATCAGATGAAAGCAGAAACATCTCTCACCTTTCTCCTCCCTGTGCTCTATATCTCTCTATTCCTCTATAAAGGCCACAGGTGTCTGATTTCCTCACTTTTTAAATAAATTTCCCCAAATAAATAAACACATTAACTGAAAAAAAAAAAAGGAAATAACAGATCTAGGGTTATAATTTATGGAAACATTACATTTTTATATATTTAAAGATTTATCCATTTTTATTGGAAACTCAGATCCACAGAAAAAGACAGAAGGAAAAATCTTCCATCCACTGATGCACTCCCTAAGTGGCTGCAATGGCCGGAGCAGAACTGATCCAAAGCAAGTTTCTTCTTGCTCCCCTATTCCGGTGCAGAGACCCAAGACCTTGGGCGGTCCTTGGCTGCCTTAACAGGCCACAAGCAGGGAGCTGGATGGAAAGTGGGGCAGCCGGGATTAGAACCTGTGCCCATATGGGATCCTGGTGCATTCAAGGCAAGAACTTTAGACATCAGGCTAAAAATGGAAACTAACACCTAATTCAAACCTTTACATGAAGGTACTAGGGCTGGGGATGGGCACAGCAGGGCTTATGGGTCCCAACTGCACCTGGGATTCTACCTTCCTATTGATAGGCACCGCGGAGACAGCAAGTAATGACCGAAGTACTGGGTCTCCGCCCCTACAACGACGATGCAGACTGAGTCCAAGCTCCAGGTTCCTGCCTAGCTCAGCTCTGGCTGTTAGAGGCTTTTAGAGAATCAGCCAGAGGATTCAAGAGCTCTATCTCTGTTTCAATGCCTTTCCAATAAAAAAGTAAAACAAAATACAGTGTTACCTTTTATACAAAAATTTTTTTTAGGATTTGTGTTTTTCTTTGGTAGGCAGGGCGCAGCAAGACCAGACCCTATGGAATTGTACCATAAAATTCAAAATTAAAAAATATATAAGAGGGCCCGGCGCGGTGGCGCAAGTGGTTAAGTCCTCGCCTTGCACGCCCGGGATCCCATATGGGTGCCGGTTCTAATCCCGGCAGCCCCGCTTCCCTTCCAACTCCCTGCCTGTGGCCCGGGAAAGCAGTCGAGGACGGCCCAAAGCTTTGGGACCCTGCACCCGTGTGGGAGACCTGGAAGAGGCTCCTGGCTTCGGATCGGCATAGTATCGGCCCGTTGCGGCTCACTTGGGGAGTGAATCATCGGACGGAAGATCTTCCTCTCTGTATCTCCTCTCTGTATATCCGCCTTTCCAATAAAAAATAATAAAAATAAATCTAAAAAAAAAAAAATATATAAGAAAAAAATTATTTATGTTTATTGGAAAGGCAGATTTACATAGAAAAGGAGGGACAAAGACCAACAACAAAGTGAGTGAGCATGACCATGACAGTTGGAGCTCAACAGAGAATGACAGTGCTTACAGGAGGATTAGCTAATGGAGCCATCATGCCAGACCCATGGCCTTTAAAAAAAAATCATATCCCAAATTGTGAGTAAGGCCACATTTCAGAAGTCAATTTCTGAAGAAAACACTACATGACAAAGTATAGATGCCTGATCCTCTGGCTTAGCTAGCAGAGAGGTAGTGGGAAATACAGAACGTCTAAACAACCTGCAAAAAAGAAGACCAAGAAAATTCAGGTCTTTTTTCCAGGCAACGGGACAAACACCTTTGACCTTTGGGAAATCACTTGCTTTTCACCCCCCCAGCTTCATATACCAAAATGAGAAATTTTCAGAACCTAATAAACAGCAGTAATTTTATTTGGCTAATATCTTCTTTTCCTACATGCACTAATATACAACAAAGCTCCCTAACACCTCAGGGATGTTTGAGACGGAAAGCATGACTTAGTCTCCAGGTTGTGCTTGATGGTTTCTACTCCCTTATCTTATCACTCTGACTCCAGACATAAATTTACCTGTGCAGCAAACTGCCTTGCTTCTTCTAGAGGAGCATCAGAAGGAAACTGACTGGTGAAGGAAGACCCATCAGGAAGACGGAACTGAATTCTTGCGATCGAGCTATCAAAAAACAAAATCACGTACCTTTAAAAGCTGTCAAGCAATACCAATTGAAGAAAAAAGGTGGAAATGTGAATGTGCAATGACAAGCTGTTTTTCACAATTTCAGGTCTTCTCAGAGCTTCACCGAGCTACAACTCACACAACACAAAATGCACCAACAGCACAATTCAGTCATTCTTACTACACCCAGCTGTGCAATTATCAAGACTGCATGAGAAACACTGGCATCACCCCAGAAGGAATCCTGGACCGAGCAGCAGTCACTTCCCATTCTTCCCTCTATCCTTGGTAACCATGAATCTACTCTCGCTGCAGCGTTTGCCTAATATGCACATCCCACACAATGTATGAATTGCCTTCAATCACGTAACATCAAGGCTCGAAGGCCCATCCATACATGTATCAGTTCTTTTTTTTTTTTTTTAAGTTTTTTATTATTTATTATTTTTGGAAAGTCAGATATACAGAGAGGAGGAGAAACAGAGTGAAGGCTTCTATTGGCTGATTCACTCCCCAAGTGGCCGCAACAGCCAGAGCTAAGCCGATCCAAAACCAAGAGCCAGGAGCTTCTTCTGGGTGTCCCAAGCAGGTGCAGGGTCCCAAGGTTTTGGGCCAGCCTCCACTGCTTCCCAGGCCACAAGCAGGGAAGTAGGACTACTGGGATTAGAACCGGTGCCTATGTGAAATCCCAGCGCGTGCAAGGCAAGCACTTTAGCTGCAAAGCTATCTAATTTATTGAAAAGGCAGATTTACAGAAAGCAGAGACAGGAAGGTCTTTCATCTGTTGGTTCTATTCCTAAACGGCCTCACTCGCCAGTGCTGGGCTAATATGAAGCCAGGAGTCAGCAGTTTCTTTCTGGTCTCCCACGAGTGCAGGATCCTAAGGATCCAGGCCATCCTCTACTGTTTTCCCAGGCCATAAGCAGGCAGCTGGCTGGGAAATGGAACTGAGGACACAAACCGGGGGGATGCCAGCACTTAGAGCCAGAGTAATATTAGCCAATTAAGGCATGATGACCTTCAATGTTTTCAATTTTCTTAGATAATAAACAATAAAGAGTGGAACTGCTGGATTAGAAAGTAAGCTATGGTTAACATTTTAAGAACTACCAAATTCTTTCCCAAAAATAGTTTACCATTTTATACTCCTAGTTGTAATGTTCCAAATTTTCCATACTGTCGTCATTATTTCCTTATTGCTTCTTTAGAGCTAGTGTGAAATATCATTTTATTGTGGTTTTGAGTTGATTTGCCTAATGACTACCAACACGGACTCTTTCCATGCCCCTACTTCCGTGTGCATAGCCTCTTTGATGGCTCCAATAGGCAGATCTGTGCCAGATCAATCACGGGCCATTTCTGCTGCCTTCTAGGACACATTAGCAGGGAGCTGGACTGGAACCTGAGTAGTTAGGATTCCAGCTAGCCCTCCCAAGACAGCGCACAAGCACTGCACGCAACAGTTTAACCAGCTGCGTCACAGTGTTACTTCTCACTTTGCTGACGAAGCACCGAAGTTGTAAATTTTCATGTCTAATTTGTTTTCCTTTTGTTATTTGTGGTTTTGGCTTCATGTCTTAACTTAGAGTCTACTTAATCATCTTAACTCTTTCTTCTCTAAGTACAGACATGTAGTTAATTTTTTTTCCCCAAGTTAAATTTTTTTTAAAAGATTTATTTATTTTATTGGAAAGGCAGATGTACAGAAAGGAGGAGAGACAGAGAAGATCATCTTCCATCCGATGATTCACTCCCCAAGTGACTGCAACGGCTGGAGCTGCGCCAATCCAAAGCTAGGAGCCAGGAACTTCCTCCAGGTCTCCCCCATGGGTACAGGGTCCCAAAGCTTTGGGCTGTCCTCGACTGCCTTTTCAGGCCACAAGCAGGGAGGTGAATGGGAAGTGGGGCTGCTGGGATTAGAACCAGCGCCCATATGGGATCCTGGCGCATTCAAGGCGAGGACTTTAGCCGCTAGGCCACTGTGCCGGGCCCTCTGAGTTATATGAGGAAAGGTTCCAAATTCATTTCAGCATGTAGATAACCAGTTCTTCAACCATTGTTTCTTACAATGGGCTAATCATAAATGTAACAGTTTCCATTTCTGGAGATTCAATTTTATTGTATTAATCCATATCTTTATGCCAGTTTGATGCCTTGGTTACTGTGGCATAGGATTTTTAAATTTAAAATTTCTGGGCCCGGTGCAGTGGCGCAAGTGGTTAAGGTCCTCGCCTTACACGCCCGGGATCCCATATAGGTGCTGGTTCTATCCCGGCAGCCCTGCTTCCCTTCCAGCTCCCTGCCTGTGGCCCTGGAAAGCAGTCGAGGACGGCCCAAAGCTTTGGGACCCTGCACCCGCGTGGGAGACCCGGAAGAGGCTCCTGGCTTTGGATCGGCATAGCACCTGCCGTTGCGCTCACTTGGGGAGTGAATCATCGGATGGAAGCTCTTCCTCTCTGTCTCTCCTCTCTGTATATCCGCCTTTCCAATCAAAAAAATAATAAACATAAATCTTACAAAAAAAAAATTTTAAATTTCTGTCACATAAAGAGTCAGATTTTTGACAAGGACTGTGTTTAATCTAGATTAGTCTGGGAAGCATTTGTTTCTCAGTAATATCAAGTTTTCTTTGTGTACTTACTGTGCTTTAAATACTTTCGAAGTGATTCCTCCAACATCAATTTTTGAAGATTAATTTGTTTGAAAGTCAGGGTTACAGTGAAGGAGACAGAGAGCGACATTTTCACCCCCTGAATGCCTGGGTCACGGTAAGGAGTCAGGACTACATTCATTCTCCCTCACACAAAACAGGGATCCAAATACTTAATAATGAAATAAAGGAACGTATGGAGGAAAACAAAACAAAACAAAACAAAAACACAACTAACCAGCGCCCAGCACACAAAGAAATTTCAGTATGAAGAAAAATAGAATACCTTCTTTCTCTTGCATATGACTCTCTCTTGACTTCCATCTCTGCCTGCTTGGCCAGCAAGGCAGCAGCTTTGGCAGCCTCTGCTTCCTCCTTTGTCTTTGCAAAACGAGCAGCTCTTTCCGCACGGTCCTTTAAAGCATCATTACATAGTAATTATCTCTCATTGCCTGCAAGACCTATTCACACATAACTGTCTAAGAAAACGCTTAAATAAAAAAAAATCTTTAATCCATTTGGGAACCTTATCCTTCTCGATCTGGTAATTTTTAGTTTTTCCAACTGTCAGGAAGCAGAATATTAATAAGCAAACAGACATAAATTTGTTTATCACATTTTCTACAGAGCCTGTGACAAAGTCTCACACATAATAGATGATCAATAAATGTTTGCTGATTGAATAAATTAATATTAAAATAAGGATGTTTTTCAAATGCATTAGAGCTGCTTAATTCTGAAAGCAATAGTTGCAAAACTATTGAGGACTGCCAGGAAACCAACACTCTGCTTGTTTCCTAGGGAATCTTTCAACATAATCCAGAGTCATTCCACGTGGAAAAGAGGTGCACAAATGTCAGACGCCATGAAGAGCTACGTCAATCAGTGGATTCTTCAACGACCTCATCGCGCCTGGAGTGGCGAGACTGGCAGCAATTCATAACTGTTGAACTATCAAGACCACTTGAGGGCCTGGCGGCGTAGCCTAGCGGCTGAAGTCCTCGCCTTGAACACGCTGGGATCTCATTTTGGGCACTGGTTCTAATCCCGGCAGCTCCACTTCCAATCCAGCTCCCTGCCTGTGGCCCGGGAAAGCAGTCGAGGACGTCCCAAAGCTTTAGGACCCTGCACCCGCGTGGGAGACCCGGAAGAGGTTCCTGGTCCCCGGCTTCAGATTGGCACAGCACCGGCCGCTGCACTCACTTGGGAGTGAATCATCAGATGGAAAAACCTTCCTCTCTGTCTCTCCTCCTCTCTGTATATCTGACTTTGTAATAAAAATAAATAAATCTTTTTTTTTCTTTTAAAAAAAAAGACCACTTGAGCAAGACACTTGGAGCATGTCCCACCTCTGGGAGTTGGGGTAGGACACTGGGTGGGGCTTCTCCCTTAATATCCCCCTTTACCTCAGATACATTAAGGAAACAATAGGGAAATAATAGTCTCAGCCACTTTCCTGTAGCCCTTGAACCTTTTTACCCTAATTAACTATGTAAGGATTGTCATTTTTTTATATAATAAAAAAAAAAAAATGGAAAAAGTTAAAAAATAAGAGTAACTTACTTATTTGAGGAATCAGTGTGGTAGAATAGGGTAAGAACACGTTTAAACATACAGAGAAATATTAGCCAATGTGAAGCAAAGTCAGATATACAGAGAGGAGGAGAGACAGAGGAAGATCTTCCATCCAATGATTCACTCCCCAAGCGGCCACAACAGCTGGAACTGAGCCCACCCGAAGCCAGGAGCCAGGAATTCTTCCCAGTCTCCCACGTGGGTGCAGGTTCCCAAGGCCTTGGGCTGTCCTCGACTGCTTTCCCAGGCCACAAGCAGGGAGCTGGATGGGAAGTGGGGCCGCCAGGATTAGGACCAGTGCCCATATGGGATCCCGGCATGTTCAAGGCAAAGACTTTAACCATTACGCTATCATGCCAGGCCCAGAGTCAATCTTTAAAAAGAAAATGAAGGGCAGACATTTGGTCCAGATTAGGATATTAGCTCAGACACCTGCATTTACATTTCAGCTCCTGTGTTCAATGCCTGGCACTACTACTAAACTCTAGCTTCCTGCCAATGCAGCCCCAGGGAGGCAGCACACACATAAGAGGCCTGCACTAACTCCTAATCCCTGGCTGTAGCACCAGTCAGGGACTGCTGGGGGCACTTAGGGAGTCAATCAGTATTCAGTAGGTGGGAATACTCTCGTCTCTCAAGTAAAAAAGAAAACTTAAAGCCATAAAAATAATAACTTAAAACTCACCAATGCAATTTGCTGTTTTATACGTTCACGGGCTGCTCTGTCCTCTGCTTTTTCTCTATTTCTTTCCTCTAACATTCTTTTTGTTAATTCTTCTTCTTGTCTTCTTTTATAATCCAACATTTCTTTTCCAGTTTTTCTCCTTTCAATTTCCTTCTTAATTTCCCTCTGAATTAAAGAGACATCAAGTTTTATCAGTCAAAAACACATTTTGGTAATTTACCCTAGATATTATTTTAAATGTAGAGACAATCAGGTACAGAATGCACTTTAAAAAACTGCACTTCAGGGATGGTACTATAGTGTCAGCAACCCTCATCCTCCATTACAGTGTCTGGTTCAAGTCCGAGCTACTGCATGCTCCCAATCCAGCTTTAATGCACCTTGCAGGCAACAGATGACGGAACAAGTGCCACCACAAGAGGGACCTGAATGGAGATCCTGGCTGTCGACTATGACTATGCAGAATCATCTGCACAAAGAAGAAATCCCTGTCTCCCTTTCTCTGTTACTCTTTCAAACGAAATATAATTTAAGAAAAAAAGTTTTTTTAAGTGTTTTTATTTGGGACCTAGCATTGTTACATAGCAAGTTAGCAGATTATCCCATACTGGAACACTACTTTGAACCACACATGGTCCATTTTCAATACATTTCCTTGTTCGTACACCTGGGAAAGCAGAGGATCATGTCCCAGGTTTGGGGGCCCTGCAATTTATGTTGGACACCTAGATAGATTCCTTGACCCCTGGCTTAAGCCTCACCCAGCCCCGGACGTTCCAATCATTGGACAGAAAACACCAAGACAACGCCTTTCCCCTCTTGTCACTATGTCTTCATCTGTCAGTCTATCTACCTTTGAAATAATCTCGTTTTGAAAATTTGAAAGGTATGGTTAATGGTCAAATGTCTAATGATTTGAAAAATCCCTTGCAGTGTTGTTAAGACTACAAGGTAGTTAAGGTAATTATAAGGCAAGCAGCATTTCAGATGTTTGATTTCTATGCCAGACATGTTGCCATCCAAGGACAATATGATGGTCATTTATTTGGCTTAAAGGAAAACATGCCTACCTAGAGTAGAAAAAAAGCCAATTCAGAGTAAAGAATACAACATTTAAAAAAAATGGTGTGCTATAATGCAGCAAAACAAAGATAAACTTCACCATAATGTCTACGTACCTCTTTTTTTTACAAAAAGGAAATAAAATTTTGATCTCTGTCTAAAGCCAGGCTTAGCTGAAGCTACTTTATTCTTCATGTAAAGGACTCAGTACTGTAGGTCAGAAAACAGGCCAATTTATTCCTGGCACTTTACAAAAACTACACAGAAGAACACACCATGATCCCAGTGCAGAAGCATTTCCTTCACTAAGCTTAACATTGAGTTTCACCTAGGAAACCACTCCTGGTCTGCCAGATGAACAATCAAAACATTGCCTCTCCAAATAGAACAAACCATACTAACACTGTTAACTTTACCTGTTCTTCTTCTTTCCTTTTCTCTTCTCTTCTTTCTTCAAGTTTTTTTGTAAGTCTGTATTAAAAGAAAAAAAATACCCTGACTCATGGTATTAATGTAAAATACATTTAGGAGGTTTCTTTATAGAAACAACTGGTGAAACACAGACACTGAAAAGAAAACCCCTGAAGACACAACAAAATGGAACTGCTGGGCTCCGGCCCTGGAAAAACCTGAGTGGATGGGATTCTGACTCAGGCCTACTTTAGTTCTTAGGGTCTTTACCACCTACTCACTATTAAACTTGTGCTTTTTCACAACTTATCTGAAATAGATTCAAAGCTATGTATACAATATTTAAATATATGTATACACAATAACTTGCAAATACAGAGGCAGTCATATAACATGAGACTGAAAAAAAATTCACAGATTTAAGACTAGCATTTATAGTACTAATATTAAGCTGACTTTTAACAAGTTCATCACTAGTGGTATTGTGTTAATCATTAGATGGATGAAAAATGTGGCAGATGTTTCTATACACACATACAATGGAATACTACTAAGTAAAAAAAAAAACTACCACCTGCAACAAAACGGGCTCAACTGGAGGAAATCATATTGAATGAAATAAATCAGATTCAAATACAAATACTAAATGTTCTTCCTTATATGTGGAAGCTAAAATAATAAAAAAAGGAAAATGCCTGTTTATATCACTATTGCTGCAAAGTTTCACAAAACTGTTATTTACCTTTGTCAAACCAATGATTAAGAATGTTATTCTACAGTTTTAATGATCTGTGATTGCTTTTAAATTTACTGTATATGAATCAAGTGGTCATTTTTTCCATTCAACATTCAACTACTGTTTATAGCCACTGTATTCACACTAAGTTAGGTAATTTAGGGTCTTTTTCCTTTGGACTGTTAAAGCTCTTGGTGAGGGGGAAAAAAAGGGAACTCCAACTCAGATCTCAGAAACTAACTACAAAATAAATTTCTGTTGGCTTTGAAAAAAATAAAAGCTAATAATTCTAGGGCCCAGCGCGGTGGTGCAGTGGTTAAGGTCCTCGCCTTGCACGCCCAGGATCCCATATAGGCGCTGGTTCTAATCCCGGCAGCCGTGCTTCCCTTCCGGCTCCCTGCCTGTGGCCCGGAAAAGCAGTCGAGGACGGCCCAAAGCTTTGGGACCCTGCACCCGCGTGGGAGACCTGGAAGAGTCTCCTGGCTTTGGGTCGGCACAGCACCTGCCGTTGCGCTCACTTGGGGAGTGAATCATCAGATAGAAGCTCTTCCTCTCTGTCTCTCCTCTCTGTATATCCGCCTTTCCAATAAAAATATAATAAAAATTAATCTTGGGCCCGGCGCGGTGGCGCAAGTGGTTAAGGTCCTCGCTTTGCACGCCCGGGATCTCATATGGGCGCCGGTTCTATCCCGGCAGCCCTGCTTCCCTTCCAGCTCCCTGCCTGTGGCCTGGGAAGACAGTCGAGGATGGCCCAAAGCTTTGGGACCCTGCACCCGTGTGGGAGACCCGGAAGAGGCTCCTGGCTTCGGATCGGCATAGCACCGGCCGTTGTGCTCACTTGGGGAGTGAATCATTGGATGGAAGATCTTCCTCTCTCTCTCCTCTCTGTATATCTGCCTTTCCAATAAAAAAATAATAAAAATAAATCTTTAAAAAATAAAAAACAAATAAATAAAAATGAATCTAGAAAAAGAAGCTAATAATTCTAAAGTAACACAATCATAAGCCATAGAATTTTGATAATGTACTAAAAGTCACTGAATAGAAACATCAATTTTCATGGTATATGAATTACACCTCAAATTGTAATTGAAATGTTAAAATCTAGAAAATTACCAGAAAGGGGCTGTCCCATAATGGATAAATCTTCCACTTGCAATGCCATGTTCTACCTGCTCCACTTGTGACTCAGCTCCCTGCTAACAGCCTTGGGAAAGTTATGGAAGAGGACACAAATTTTGGGACCTGTGCCACCCACATGGGAGACTCAGAGAAGCTCCTGGCTTCGCCCTGGCCATTGCAGCCACCTCAAAAATAAACCAGGAGATGAAATATCTTTGTCCCTCCCTCTCTCCCTCTCTCTCTTTCGAAATAAGTAAATATTTTTTCACAACCATTTTTATCTCTCAACGAAATAATTCATCCAAAAAAAAAAAAAAATCAATGGATGCCAAAGACACTAGGAACAAGTTGTGATAAAAAATTTACTATTTCAAGGCCTGGTGCAATAGCATAGTGGTGAAGGTATTCGCCTTCAATGCCTGGGATCCCATATGGTCGCCGGTTCTAATCCTGACAGCCCTGCTTCCTATCCAGCTCCCTGCCTGTAGCCTGGGAAAGCATTGGAGGACAGCCCAGAGAATTGGGATCCTGCACCCATGTGGGAGAACCTGGGAGAGCTCCTGGCTTCGGACTGGCTCAGCTCCAGCCATTGCAGTCACTTGAGGAGTGAACCATCAGATGGAAGATCTTCCTCTCTGTCTCTCCTCCTCTCTGTATATCTGCCTTTCCAATAAAAATAAATAAATCTTCAAAAAAAAAAACCAATTTGCTATTTCAAAGATTTACTTACTAATCAGTAAAGAGATACATTTATAATGAAGATATTCACTATAAATCACACAAATCAAATGATTAACATCATCAATAATGCATAAATATGACACTAGCTATCTCCTAAGGTTGGTAAGGATAAGGACAAAATATTAAATATTACATAGATATTTCAAAAGTTAAGTTGAATAATGGGACAAGTACTGGACAATCAACATTCTAGAAACTAGTTTGTTTCAAAATGTCTCATTTAAAAGTACAAACAAAAATGGGGAGCTTGTTCCTTGGCTGGATCTTGAATCAGGGGGGAAATGTCATAAAGAACATTATTGAGTCAATTGGGGAAATCTGAATATGGACCACAATCTCACTGCATAAATGCATATTTTTTTTACTGTTATAATAGTCCTATGCTAATATCTAAAACAACCTATTTTTTTTAAGATATGAATTTATTTTGATTGGAATGGCATATATTCAGAGAGGGAAATCTTCTATCTGATTATTAACTCCCTAAGCAGCTGCAATAGCTGGAGCTGAACCAAACTGACACAAAGAACCAGGAGCTCTTCCAAGTCTCCCACGTGGGTGCAGAGTCCCAAAAGCTTGGGCCGTCCCTGACTGCTTTCCCAGGCCACAGGCAGGGAGCTGGATGGGAAGCAGGGCTGTCAGGATTAGAACTGGTGACCATATGGGATCGTGGCGCGTGTAAGGCGAGGACTTTAGCCGTTACACAATCACGCTGGACTCACGACTACCTCTATTTTTAAAATTATATATCAGTGCTAGAATTGTGAGGAAACCACAAGTAATTTTATTATAATATAGTTGAAAATCTACATTGCATCTAATTGTTTCATCACTCCGGCATCTGACATTTATTTCTTAATGGTCATTTTACCTTCCTAGGCACTAGCACAGCGCAGGGTAGATCTCTTGCTCAGAACAGAGCTTCAGCCACTTAGCAGATACATGCTTAGCTAGTTAGGGATGAAATAAAATGTAATTTTAAAACAAATTAGAAAAAAAAGGAAGGTGTTGGAAACATTTCAAATAAATGGAAGCTGATACTACTACATATGAACATACTTTGAAAAGTTTATAGAAAATGTGATTAAATAAAAATTATTTTGGCATACAATAGTTCTAAATCCATTCATCTAAAGAGTCTCAAAAAGTTTACAGGGCCTGGCATGGTAGCCCAGCGGCTAAAGTCCTCACTTTGCACGCACCGGGATCCCACATGGGGGCCTCTTTCAAACCTGTCCTACAAACGATACTTCAAGATGTTCTCTTGACAGAGAAGAGGAATAGCACCTACCAAAACCAAAGGCAGACGGGAAGAACATCCCAGTAAAATGACAACAGAAGACTAAACCAATGAGCAACCCATTCCTAAAATGATAGGACCGAAGTACCACCCATGTATATTTAACTCTGTAAATGGCTTGAGCTCAAACATATATCACAGATTAGTAGACTGGATTAAAAAATAAAACCCATCTGTTTGTTGTGTGGAGGAGACACACTTCAACAAAGATCAGCAGAAACTACATCACATGGGTTTTGTTGTTTTCTGTTGGTTTCATCTCTTCAAAACACTTTCTTCTGACTAAAACATTCAATGACTTGTAGATCATGCAGTGTCATCATTTTCTTCAAGAAGGTTCTTGATTTTCATTTCTTCAGCTACACGTTAGTCATTTAATGGCATGTTGTTTAACTTCTTGGCGGTGTTAATTTCTTTTTTCTCCCCAATGCTGATTTTGTTTTGTGGCTCTTCATTTAAGGGAATGTATAGTAGCTGTGTAATGGTGACTGTCATATCTAGTAACATGCCATTTAACTTCATGGCATTGTAAATTTCTATTTTTCTTTCTATTGTTGAGGTTGTACCATGACTTTTCATTCAAGGGAATGTACAGTAGTTGTGTAATGGAGACTATCATATCCAGATGTGAGGACACAATGTAGTATGCATTTCTGTTTCCAGAAAAAGATGGACTTACATTGAAACTGTTTACTATATTTTGACAATAGGATTCTGGACTCTCTGCCATTGTCCATGCCCGCATGGACATGACATATGACTGAGTATGAAGAACTGTATGTTAGTAATGATACGAAGGAACTGGGGGGTGGGGGAGGGAATTGGGGAGGGGATAAGGAAATATGGAACTGTATCATAAAATGATAGCAATAACAATAAAACGTAAAAAGAAAAAAAAAAGAAGCAGAAACAGAGAGGGGTCCTCTATCAGGTGGTTCACTCCCTAAATGTCTTCATTAACTGAAGGTAGGCTGCTCCTGGTTAGGAGCTTGGAACTTCTAGCCCTCCTACGAGAGAACAGTGGCCAAGGACTTAGACCATCCTTTGCTGCCTTCCTAGCCATTAGCAGGGAGCTGGATTGTAAGTGGAACAGCCAAACCCAAGGCAGCACCCATATGGGATTGCAGCCCTGCAAGTGGATGCTGCTGCCATTTTTGTATGTTTTTATTTTAGAGCCCAGGACAGAGAGCAAACAAATTAAAAATATAATATAAATATATTAAAAAAAAATAATCCCAGCATAGTTTCAAGATGGCATTCATGGTGGAAAGGCCATTGAGCAAATGGATTAATGTGTTAAAAAGCCAGTAGGCTGTTGTTTTGTGCTGTACAGCACAGGTCTGCCTTCCTCCCACACAGAAATAGGAACAAAAAGCTTGTCAGTCCTGGAACTCAGACTGTGAAAGAGATGATACTGAAAGGTGAATTGGAGAACTGAACAGGGGCCAGAAAGTGAAAAGCTTATTTTTAAACAAACTTTGATAAAAGGAATTTGAACCTTATCCTTAAGGAAGTGGCAAGCTGTTTCAGGATTGTCAGCATTTGTATCAAGGGAGAAACTTTTATTCCAAATGTATATAAAAACAAAGAGAATAGGAAAAATAATCATACGACAAACCTCTCTGATTAATTACTGCTCTATAAAAAAAAACTAGAGACTGCCAAGAATTAAAACTATGTATATGACACTTCAACTAAATAAAAGTAACGCTCAATAGATGCCCATTTATGCAGTAAAACCTAAGCTCAGTAAAGATTCATAAAATGAACTGAAGTTCTTGCCTTTTGGAGCGTATCATCCTTACTGCATAGAGACATAAAACAAGGAACAGACGGAAAAACACATAGACCAAACTACATCAGACTTAAAGCTGACTGACCACTTCACACGAACAGAGAAGCTCTGCTGTTAGAAGTAACTTTTATAGATATAAACAACTTGGTCAAATTATCAAAAACACAGAATTCTGAAACTCCATTTGTGTTATTCTTGCTTTTATTCTAATTAATAAAATAAGCACTTCAGTGTAGCAGGTAAAGTTATTACCTGCAAAGCTGGCATCCCAGATGGGTGCCAGTTCGAATTCTGGCTGCTCCATTTCTGCTCCAAGTCCCTATTAATGGTCTAAAAAAGCAGTGGCAGACAGCCCAAATACTTGGGGTCCTGCCACCCCACAGATGAGACCTGGTGAAGTTCCTGGCCTCAGCCTGACCCATCCTTTGCCACTGTGCCCATCTGGGGAGTGAACCAGAAAAATGGAAGATCTGTCTCTCCCTTTTTAATTCTGATACGTAAATAAATAAACTGAAAACCACTTTTTTAACAAAATAAGTGCAAAGGTAAGAGCAAACCTTTCAACTCTCACGGTGAGATCCTCTGCAGGTCTCTGACTTGAACATACAGTAGGCTCCCGAGAGGCAGCAGCATGGCCTGAACTTTCTCCTCCTTAATTAATAAGTAAAAAGAAATAAGAATACTGCATTTAATGTAATTTTTAAGATAGAAATCTTCTGGGTTATGACATCTATTAATAATCCTATTTCTTGAATATTACATGCTTACCCCAGCACAGAGCAGCAGATAAGAAATGAGCTATTATTAAGCTTTCTGAAGTTAGGATCTAGACAAAATGGTGTATGAATGAAAAAAAGGCAGTTACCCCAGCCACCCAAAGTCAATGGCGCAACAAGCAGAAATAGCTATGTGGCAAAACATTTGGCCAATACTAAGCTTCCCTCTAGAGTAGCACTGCCCTTTACCTATACTGTCCAAAATATTAGTCACCAGCTACACGTAGCTAGTGAGCATCTATAAGGAAGCTGCAGTGGGTAAAGGTCTAAATTTCTACTTGTACTCACTCCTAACTGAAACAAACACATGTTGCCATGCCTACTGTATCTTAGAGCCAAATCTGATGTAGGTATGCTTCTAGAATCATCTTGGACTATGAAGGGATCTATTGCTGCTACTCAGAGTAATTCTTCAGAGAAAATATTTTCTTTAGCTGTACAGTAATAAGGATTCCTGAAGAGAATAGAAGAGGATAGAAGAGACCTGGTAATTTTCATTCAAAACTTTGTTACATACTTTGGACACCTGTTCTTTATAAGTAACATGCATGGAGCCCAGAGCACGGGTTCAATTGGCTAATCCTCTAACTCCAGCACCAGCATCCCATATGGGTACCAGTTCACCTCCCGGCTGTTCCACTTCCCTTCCAGCTCCCTGCTTATGGCTTGGGAAAGGAGTGGAAAACGTACCACCACCTTAAGACCCTGCACCCATTAGGTCACCCAGAAGAAGCACCTGCTCCTGGTTTTGGATCAGTCTGGACATTGCAGCCATTTGGGGAGTGAACCAGTGGATAGAAGATCTTTCTGTCACCCCTTCTTTCTGTAAATCTGCCTTTCCAATAAAAATAAAACAAAAATTAACATGTATCGAAGAATAAGGACTTTGGAGCCACAATGCCTGGGTCCAAGATTTGCTTGGCCACTTCAGTAAATTCTTTAATCTCTCTGTGCCTCATCTTCAAAATGGGGATAATTAAACCTCATCTGGTTGTTATGAGGAAAACAATTAATAAAATTAAAATATTTAGAACACTAGTAAGACCAGCACATATCGGGCATGGCGTGATAGCGTAGTGGTTAAAGTCCTTGCTTTGAACGTGCCAGCATCCCATATGGGCAGCAGTTCTAATCCCAGCAGCCCTGTTTCCCATCCAGCTCCCTGCTTGTAATCTGGGAAGAGGCTCCAGTTCCTAGCTTTAGATTGGCTGAGCTCCAGGCGTTGTGCTCACTTGGGGAGTGAACCATCAGATTTAAGTTCTTCCTCTCTGTATATCCACCTTTCCAATAAAAATAAATCTTAAAACAACAACAGACCAGCACATAGTAAGTGCTTTAGTTATCCCAGCAGCAGAAATAATTCTAGTCAAAGGTGCACATCTATTCCTATGTCTGCATCCAGTGTATCACTTACTTAGCTTGAAAACAGCCACAATAGAAATCAGCAAATACTACATATAAAGGCTTTTAGCTTCCACAGAACTTTCTGTTAAAACATTTACCAGCACAGCACTGATTACAACTCTTGGATAACAACTGATAGCCTCTGGCAGCCACTGTGCATTAGGGAGGAAATCAACCACCTGGTATAAATAAAACTTCTGCAGATATCTACAAGGGAACAAAATATGGATAGCAGAATGAAGTGGATCACTGAGTGATAAAAACAAATTAACATACGTCAAAAAGGAAGCTTTCTATTTCTATAACAGATTTGTCTCTCTGGTACTTTATAAATGACTCAAAAGTATACACTATACATTCCTAACTTTATGGGTAACCCACAACTGAGTGAAACAGCTTATTGTAGTCATATTTAATTGATAATTACCAAATGGGAAGTTCTAGAGTAAGAAAAAAAATCTCAATAAACCCCAAACAATTGATAAAATCTTAACCAGGGACTAGCTTTTTAGCATGGCTGGCTGGCAAAACTTGCACCAGTGCTGCCTGCATTCCATACGGATACAGATTTGAGGCCCAGAGGCACCACTATTGATCCAGCTCCCTGCTTGTGCCTCTAAGCGTTCGGACCCCTGCAACAATACGAGAAGAAAGGAGAGGCTTCTGTCTCTTAGCTATGGGCTGGCCCAGCCCTGGCCGCTTCGGTCATGTGGGGAGCAGACTAGCAGAAAAATGTGTCTTTCCCGATCTCTCTGTAACTTTGCCTTCCAGAAAACTTAATAATATAAAATCCAAACATAATGAAAATCAGGGAAAATTCTGTCTCTAGGTTTAAAGAGTCAGCTGGATTATTAGGTAGAATGCGTCTCCTAACGGAAATATGCATCATGACGTACGCATTTTTAAAGGAATTCTTGCTAAAATATTTAATGAAAATAAAAGGAAGAGAGGAATATTTACATAATACTATGAGGATGTGAAACCTTCATACTATTGGAAATCACACACAACACAAAAAAAGCCTACTCCTGACCTCAGAGCATGCCCACACTGGGGACCCCGGGATGGGTGAAAGGCTGGGTGGAACTTTTGCCTTTATCTCCTCCCTTACCCCAGATACAGGAAAAAAAATAATGTGGAAACAATGGTCTTACCCACTTGCCTGTAGCCCTCGACCCTTGTGCCCTAAAAAACTATTTAAAGATTACCAGATAAAATTATTTTAAAAAACAAAAACCTACTCCTAACAGTCCTTTATCAACCAATAGCAATACATAAAGCCATAATTCAAACAGAATAACAGATACAGTAAAACTGTCTAGCTTTGATAAGGGACTACGGATTTGTGGGGGTTTTGCCTTTTTTTACTTATCTTGAGTATGTGGCTCAGGTGTTGTGACCCCTTTTGCAACACCCACATCCCAATCAGAGCGCATGCGCTTAAGTTCTACCTCTGTCTGGATTCCAACTTTGTACAGATGTACACCCCAAGAGGCAGCAGGTGATCTCCCTCCCTCCCTCTCCATCACTCTCTTTTTAATTTATTTTTATTTGAAAGTCAGATATACAGAAGGAAAGGACACAGAGGTAAGAATCTTCCATCTGCTGATTCAGTCCCCAAGTGGCCCCGAGCTCAGCCATCCAAAGCCAAGAACTGGGAGTTTCTTCCGGGTCTCCCATGTGGGTGCAGGGTCAAGGCTGTGGGATGTCCTCTGCTACTGTACCAGCCAGAGGGAAGTGGGGCTGCCAGGATTAGAACTGGTGCACATATGGGATCCTGGTGCATGCAAGGAGAGGACTTTAGCTGCTAGGCTACCGCGCTGGGCCCAGTGTCTTGAATACACAAATTTTTGAAAGAAAAATTGTTCACAACTCTAAACTTGGAGAGACTTACAAAATCACTGTCTTGATATTTGAAAAACAGTACATTAGCAGAAATTATAAATCAACTCTTGTGGTTTTGATTACTTGGTAATGAAGGGTACAGTCACTTTATCCTCTTTGCCACTAACACTTTGGAGATAACCTTTAAAATTCACATTAAATTGGGCCCAGTGCAGTAGCATAGTGGGTAAAGTCATCACCACGGACACACCAGGATCCCATCTGGGTACCAGTTTGTGTCCCAGCTGCACTACTTCCATCCAGCTTCCTGCTTGTGGCCTGGAAAAGCAGTCGAGGACGGCCCAAAGCTTTGAGACCCTGTACCGGCATAGGAGAACTGGAGGAGGCACCTGGCTTCTGGCTCTGGATTTGCTCAGCTCCAGCCGTTGCAGCCATTTGTGTGTGAACTATCAGATGGAAGATCTTCCTGTCTCTCCTCCTCTCTGTATATCTGACTTTCCAATAAAAATAAATGCATTTTTAAAAAATCTAAATAATAAGTTAAATGAGAAAAGAACCACAAAATATTTATCCTAGAAAAATACTGATAGAAAACGTTTACAGTGAAAAGAAGAAAGGCCTTTTTCATTTAAAAAATTATCCAATTTTAAGTGAAAATCATGCGAAGAGTGACAGTGATCATTAATGCACAGCTTCAAATTCCACAGTGGCTGAAGTGGATATGGCAAAAGTCAGCAGAGCAGAGCTCAGAGCAGCTGCCATACGGACTGCAGGGACCCAAGTTTTTAAGCTATCACCTGCCTCCTGTCACTCTGCTCACTAGTAAGAAGCTATGTAAGAAGCAGTGCTGGGATACCAAATTCAGTGTCTCCGAAACAAGATGCAAGCATTCCCAACAGCATCCTAACGACTGTGCCAAACTCCCACCCTGGGAATATTTCTCTTGCAGCCAAAAAGCCGTATTTTACAGTACCTGCTGCCGTATCTGAGTTTGTATTAGAACTGGATGATGTTTCACAATGCTCCGCATTTCTGGACTGAGAGTTATCCAAAGTGTTACCAGGTTCACACGAGGCAGACGGAGCAGAGACTGAGCCTTCTGACTGGCTGCTGTTAGCCATCGATGCTTCACCTTTCAGTGAGTGCATCTAGGAAGGAAACAAACCAGAGCTTCACGAAAAGACAGGAATCTAAATCTATCATGGCATATAAGATCAAAATAAAGAGTTAAGCCCATTTTATAAGCTGTAAGAAAAGTATTAAACTGTCACAAGTACAGGAATCTAAGAAATGCAATAAATATCAGAACTGTATTGTAGCATTCAACTAAAGCTAACAAGTGCAATAAAAAGTTTACGCACAGTACTGATTTCTCTTCAAATCAGAATATAAAGAAAAAGTTAAAAGGCTATATAACAGCCATCTGCTAAAAATGGATAGAAATAAGAAATTATTGTGTAAAGATTTTAAAGCATTTAAAGTTAGGGACTTGATATGACAGTTACACTCCTACAACAGAGCAATGGTGAAGTGTATTAATAGAGTAAGGCAAGAGGTAAGAGCTGTGGATCACTCAGGTATGAGATGCTTCTAAAAGTTTGTAGAAAATTAAAAATGTCAGAGGTGTTTGCAGCAAAATAAACTTGTCTTTAATTTTACTCTTCATAAACATCTTCAAGTATCTCCTATTAGGTATAGGCATCTGTGCAACTTCATAATGCAATTTTTTAGTTCAGGAAGATGGTATTTACTATAACAGCATAACACTATAGAAATTCTCTAAAAACACTCTACCATTAAATTCTTGACATCCCATATTTCCTTAATTATGCAAAGAGCAGTTCTGTTCCTTCTCACCTGTAGGACTTTGTGAATTCTTGTAACAAGCTCGTCTGCAGAAATGCTTCCTGCAATTACTTCCAAGGGAATCCCACTGTCTCCAATAAAAAAACTGGATGGAACACAGACCACTGGATCTGCACAGTTTAATTAAGGTTAACAATCCATGCAAAGCAGAAGGAAAATTTTAAAAATTATCCCTTTCATAATGTAATCTGTTAATGTTTATAAAATAATTCATACTACCCTAACATGGCTGTAGTCTATGTAAAATAATCCTATTGCATACCACCCTTGAGTAAAGAACACATTCTGATCATAACTTTCTTTAATATCCATCTTGCTACAAGCTGCCACTTGGCATCTACTACTTTTTTTTTCCTTTTTAAAAGATTTATTTATTTTATTGGAAAGTCAGATATACAGAGACAGGGAGAGACAGAGAGGAAGATCTTCTGTCCGATGATTCACTCCAAATGATTGCAACGGCTGGTGCTACACTGATCTGAAGCCAGGAGCCAGGAACCTCCTCCAGGTCTCCCACATGGGTGCATGGTCCCAAGCTTTGGGCCATCCTTGACTGCTTTCTCAGGCCACAAGCAGGGAGGTGGATGGGAAGCAGGGCTGCCAGGATTAGAACCAGTGCCCATATGGGTTCAAAGTGTGGACTTTAGTCACTAGGCCACAGCGCAGGGCCCTGGCATCTACTTTCTAACATTCTAACCAAACTGTTCCAACATATTGCTCATTAGATACATTTCCTTATCCCCTCATGATTTACAAAACATCAACTCAAAAACCAACAGCAGTATCAAGTATCCATTAGCAAGAAAACATGACTTCCTAAAGAAAAATGAATACACATCTAAACTTCATGAGTTAACCAGAAGGGAAATAAGCAGTAAACACACACACACACACACTCTCTCACATAAACAGCCAGTTCTTCATTGAAAGGATACAGATTTGTGAGAACTGCAGGCAGGCTTCACTGTAAAACAAAATTAAACAGAATTATTAGGTGAATCCAACTGCTTCCCACATACTAAGCTAAATGTATACAATTTTCTGTACTGGGGGCTTGGCACAGTGGGTGAAGTCTCAGTCTATAGCATCAGCATCATATAGGGATACCAGTTTAACCCCAGGTTGCTCCACTTCTGATTTAGCTCCCTGCTAATGAACCCAGGAAAGCAACAGAGGCTGGGCCAAGTGCATGGGGCCCCTACCCACATGAGAACCTGATGAGGCTCGTGGCTTCAGTCTGGCCCAGCCCTAGCCATTGTGGCCATCTGGGGAGTGAACCAGCAGATGGAAGATCTCTCTTTCCCTCTTTCTTCCTCTGCCTTTTAAACAAATGAGTAAAAAATTTACTAATAAAGAAATATTATTCTGAAATTCCCAGTTCATATGCAGCAATCAACTGGGAGAAGAAAAAAGAATTTTCTTTTTCACTGTTTTATAACAATTTGTATCTAAAAGAACCTTTTGCAATCACAACCCACAGCCTTTGGTGTCTGCATTTAGGACCTTTAAAAGGAGTTAAAAATCTGTCACGTTGCTTTCTCAACAGAACATTAAATATGCCTGAATATAATCTTATCCCCTAATAACATACAATGACTGCAACTTCCTATGCCTGCAATAATGTAATATACTTTTATAAAAGAATTCAAAATGCCTACTAATAAAAATTGAGTAATTCTACAGACAAAGATCATGATTACAGAAATACAAAGCAATGAGTGTTAAAACATAAGCAAACCTTTTGGTATCAATTTTAATAGCAACAAAACGGTTTGAAGATGCTTCTGTCACTTTCTCATCTTCCCAACTTTCAGCCATCTGTGTAGACTGCTCATCATCACCTGTAAAATATTTCAAAGACTGTTGATTCTCTTCCCTAAAAGCTGAAACTTCCAGTAAGGCTCAATCCCACAAACACTATTTTCTATCAATTTTTAAAACTAAATTTTGCACAAAATGAAATATAACCGCATACACTTTTCACATAATAGAAGTAAAAAAAAGTACTAGTTAGATGATAGCACATATTTTCTGAAAGATGATTTTTAAATTATGGTACAAAAATGTTAAAATAAGAAATGATGGGAAGGAATGCGTAGCATCTATTTTGGCTTTTGCACACATAAGTTTAGGAAATAAAGTAGTATACTCTTCCTTAATGTGCCATCTTGGTTTTAAATTCAATGTCTCCACAATGTAATTCATTTTCCAAAATTTCTCCGGGGTAGAATAAGGCAGGTATAACCCTGACTTTAGTTTTGGCCTCATCTTTACTGTAGAGTGCTAATTTTAAAAGTTGTGGTGAAAGAATTTAGCTTAGTGGCTAACTTGCTGAAGGAGAACAATGTTACTGACTGGGAAAGGGAATATTTTCTACAGTGCTAAAATGTCCTGTACGGTGATCTAGATTGCAGATATACAGTAATTTCCATATGTAAAAAGTCATCAAGTTGTCATTTCACATGCGGTCATTTCATACACTGTACATTATTCCACAACAAACAAAAATGTTGAAAAAATTCTATGAAGGCACTGCTTCAAATTTAGAGCCATGCGACTTTGCATAAGCACTTACTGGTAGGCAAAAGGAAATGTGACTAAGTCACTGAGAAGTATTTCTGAGGTTAGCAGAGACACATGTTCTCTCAGAAATGAACAACCCAAGCTAGTTTACAAATTTTCAAAGATGGTTTCAGGACACATTTTTTTGTTTTATGAAATCAGAGGCAGGCACTGTAGAACAGCAGGCTAATCCACCAACTGGAATGCCCACATCTTCAATCAGAGTGCCATTTCAAGTCCTGGCTACTCCATACTTCCAATTCAGCATTCTGTTAACACAACTGCCACCCATTTATGAGAGCCAACTGAAGTTCCTGGCTTCTGGCTTCAACGAGGGCCAGCCCTGGCTTTTGCAGGTACATAGGCAGTGAAACAGTAGATGGAAGATATGTCAGTCCCTCTCTATTACTCTACCTTTCAAATAAATCTAGTGACAGAGAGAGGGAGACAGAGAGGTGTCTTCTATTCACTGGTTAACTGTCCGAATGACTGCAACAGATGGGGCTGGTCAAGCTAAAGCCAGAAGCATCTTCCAGGTCTCCCACGTGGAAGATCTAGAAGAAGCTCCTAACTCCCAGCTTTAGACTAGCCCAGCTGTGGCTGCTGTGAATATTTAGGAAGTAAACCAGTGGATGGAAGATCTGACTTTCAAGCAACATACATTTATAAAAACGGGGGCAATACAGCGTTACAACAAGCTAATCTTCTACACTGTGGTGCTGGCATCCCAGATGGGTGCAGGTTTGTGCCTGACTGTACCACTTCCTATCCAGGTTTCTGCTTAATGCCTAGGAAAGCAGCAGAGGATAGCCCGGGGCCTTGGGATCCTGCACCCACATGGAGGACCTAGAGGAGGTTCCTGGCTCCCAGCTTCAGATCAGCTCAGCTTTGACCATTGCAGCCATTTAGGAAATGAACCATTGGATAGAGGATTTTCTTCGTCTTGTATTATCTCTGTGAAATCTACCTTTCAAATAAAAATAAATAATTCTTAAAGAAAACAGTAAGAGATCTAACTTCCATAAATTCATTCCCCAAATAGTGATACCAGGCAGTGCTGGGCCAAGCCAAACCAAGAACTTCATTTGGCCTCAATGTTGGTGGCAAGCGCTCAAACAGGCCTTTTCTGTTGCAGCTTTTTCTGTGGTGTTGGCAGGCGGGTGGATCAGAAGCAAAAAAGCCATAACAGGTACCAGCAGGCACCTTGTTTCCCTCAGTTCAATACAGGCTTTACTTTCCTACCCCGGATATCTGCTTACTGTATATCATTCTTTCTATTTTCAGACCAAAAACCTGTTATTCTTGTTCTCAGTTGGCTTATCTCCATAATGCATTAAAAATATAACTATTTACTGTATTTCCAACGTTACCAACCCGATCCAAACTACCATATCTCACCAAGATGATTCAAATATTTCCTAAATGGTGTTGCTGCTGAATATTTTCTTAACATAGCAGCACCCTTAAAAACCCTGTTCTCCCTGATTCCTCAAAACAAGTCACTTGTAAGAATCTACACATGGGATGGCTGGGAGGCTGGGTGGGGCTCCTCCTTTTATTCTATTACCCCAGGTCTAGAAAAAAAAAAATAATAATGTGGAAACAATGGTCTTACCCACTTGCCTGTAGCCCTTGACCCTATGTGCCCTAATCAATTATGTAAAGATTAAAAAAAAAAAAAAGAATCTACATTGTCGGCCAGCACAATACAGCCTAACGGCTAAAGTCCTCGCCTTGCACATGCTGGGATTTGATTTGGGCACCAGTTTGTGTGCCAGCTGCCAGGTTTCCCATCTAGCTTCCTGTTTGCGGCCTAGGAAAGCAGTCAAGGACTGCCCAAAGCCTTGGGACCCTGTACCCACGTGGGAGACCTGAAAGAAGCTCCTGGCTTCGGATCAGCTGAATGCCAGCAACTGCAGCCACCTTGGCGTGAATCAGCAAGCAAAAGATTTTCCTCTCCATCTCTCCTCCTCTATGTATATCTAACTTTCCAATAAAATAAATCTTTAAGAGCAAAATTTACATGGCTATAGGCAGTTTATCACCTATTTTGAATTTTTCCACTGTTCGTTTTTATTCCTACACTACTAAACACAATCCACCTGTAAGGTCTCTGTAATAATTGTTCCCTCGGGGCCTGGCATGACAGCACAATGGTTAAGGTCCTCACCTTGAATGCCCCGGGATCCTATATGGGCGCCGGTTCTAATTCCGGCAGCTCCACTTCCCATCCAGCTCCCTGTTTGTGGCCTGGGAAAGCAGTTGAGGATGGCCCCCCAACACCTTGAGACCCTGTACCTGCGTGGGAGACCTGGAAAGAAGTTCCTGGCTCCTGGCTTTGGATTGGCACAGCACCGGCCACTGTGGTCATTTGGAGTGTGAATCATTGGAAGGAAGGTCTTCCTATCTCTCCTCATCTCTGTATATCTGCCTTTTCAATAAAATAAATAAATCTTTTTTAAAAAATAATTGTTTGCTCTGTCTGGAATGTCCTTCCACAGTTATCAATATGGCTTAGTTTAAATTCCCTTAACTCTTTGCTCAGAAAACATCTTCTCAGGAAGTTTTCCCTAACCACCTACTGTATACTGATATCCTGTAGATACCCCCCTATCTCCCACCTCCCTTTTTTTTTTCCTGTACTACTTGTATCTTTTATTCTACTATGGTTTTTAACTGTGTTCACTCTGTCTCCATCAACGTCAACGAAGCTCTCACAATGCAAGGACTGTGTCATTTTATCTACTACTAAGACTGAAATTTCCACAATAGCTCTCTGCATATAGTAGGCACTTCTTACTTTGTGGAAAGAAAAGCTAAATGTCTCATATAATTTTCTGACAATACTTGACTGTAATGCTGAATATATATACTTTTCATGAGACGAGACTCATGAATACGAGTTTTATAAATTTGGTCACAGGAAAACAGAACTACAGTGCATCCACAGACGAAAATCAAAAGGGTTCCCCATTAACAGATGCCCACATATTGACAAACACAGTGCCCAGCAGGCTGGCCTAGAGGCTAAAGTCCTTGCCTTGCACGAGCCAGGATCCCATATGGATGCCAGTCCTAATCCCAGCACTTCACTTCCCATCCAGCACCCTGCCTGTGGCCTGGGAAAGCAGCTGAGGATGGCCCAAAACCTAGGGACCCTGCACCCACATGCACAACTCAGAAGAGGCTCCTGGCTCTGGATTGGTTTAGCTCCTGCCATTATGGCCACTTGGGGAAGGAATCAGCAGACAAGAGACCTTCCTCTCTGTATATCTGACTTTCTAATAAATAATAAATCAAATCTTAAATAATTCAGTGATCATTAAAAAAAATAATACTGAGAAATACAAAGTGAGGGAAAACTGTCACTTGCAATGAGATCATTCTAAATGTTTCTTCAGAGCCCATACAGTAGGGACAGATATAAAATTCCAAGTAAATGAGCCAGCTATCATTCCACACAGGAACAACATTACTACAATCATAGCTGTGAAGAATGAAAACCCTTTTTATTCATCCTTTCATATAGTCTCTATTTCACACTCATTTTCTAGGACTGGGCTAGATACTAAATACCGAATAAATGAGACACTGTCTACTTTCAATGTCGCTTAAAATCCAATGACACAAAAACGGTTCTGGTGGGAAACATGAAAAATAATGACGGGGTATCTTTACAACGATCAGGGAAGTCCTCTCTGAAATGACACTGAAAGCAAGTCATGAAGGATGAAAAAGCTAATGCATACATACAGCAACCAGAGGACATCACCAAGCAGAAGGAATCTGTGTGAGGGAAGGATCTGTGTGATCTACGGGAGCCAAGACAAGACTAAAGAGTAAAGAGACCAAGAGGACTCCAGACTTCTGGTTTACACAATCAGGTCCCCAAGCACTTGGTCCCCTGCCACCCACATGGCAGACTGGATGGAGTTTCAGGCTACTGGGTTCCACCTGGCCATTAGACATTTGAGGAGTGAACCAGCATATGAGCTATCTCCTTCCCTCCCTTCCTCCCTCTTTTTAATGCCTTTAAATAACTAAATCTTTAAGAACATAAACACATAAAAATAAAAACCACATGCAACTATGTTCTCTTATATGCTTCAAAGTTATGAGCAAGGCAAATATTGACAGCCCATGTGCTTGAGTCCTACACCCATGTACTGAGCCCTGGAAGGAGCCCTTGGCTTTGCACCGCCCGCCCAGTTGCTGCAGCCCTGTGGGGAGTAAACCAGCAGACTGCCGGTCTCTGTGTGCCTCTCTTTCAAGAAAGCAACAAAAAAAGGTAGGAAGAAAATCATAAAGCTCTAAATGGTCTGTATTACAGTTTTAGGAGTATAATGTAGATTCCTACAGTGGCATTAACCCTACCTGGTCTTGGGAGATTAACTAGCTACAACTCTAGAAAAGCTGTTTTCAGGAACAAGTTCCGGGACAGACTCCTTTGTTCTATGGCTAACAGTCTCCTGTAAACATTTAACTGTCATTTATTAATTAATTCTAAATACAAGTAACACATGCCCACCAATAAAAAGTCAACTTAAGAACTCACACACAAAAAGTCCAAAATACAAGGTGTAAGACCTCTAAGTTTTAATTATTTTAATAAACTCATCCTGCTGCTTTCCAAATATTTGATAATTAAATCTGGCATTTCTTCTTTCCAAATGATTAGCCCCAAAATACGTTTTAATCATGTCTGGGCACCATCAAATATTAACATCAAAAACCAAAAAACTACCACAATCTTAGATTTTCTGATTTCTTCACCAACTTAAATGACTATGTAAGGAGACTGTTTCGCTATCCCTTAAGAAATACAGCAGGATCAATTCAGATTATATGTGAGCAATGTCATTTAAATATTATCAACCCATTACTGCAAATTTTAACCGCATAACATCATTTAGCCTTCACTTTTAACCAATTCATTTCCTCTTACACGGCAGCAGGGATTTTTTTCTTTAAGGAGACTACAGCACCAAAACAGCACCTCAGAACATGAAGCTACTCAAACCGTGCGATTACACAGCACTTAGCCAAAAAGTCAGCTTAACTGTAAATTTCAAGTTCAATGTTAAACATCTCAGCAACTTGTATTCCACTGCCATCGTATAAAATTAAGAGAGCCATTTTCACCTCGTGAAACGCGTTCTAACTAAGCCGAGATTAAACACAAACAGCTGAAGACGCACACCTCCCATTAACAGCAACCACAGCCGCAGCAGAGACGGAAAGTTTTTCTTAAGGCCAGTTAAAACACGGAGCAACACAGGGGCAAATGAGTTGGCACGCGTTCTCGAAACTACATGGACTTCAGCTGAAAGTCTACTACTTTTAGACCGATGAAGGAGACAAACCTACTTGGAACAAAGTAATTCCTGCACACTCACACACTCACACTCCCTAACCTCCCCACCCCATCCTGAAGTTTACAAACGCTCTAACAGCTGCCACCGCAACCATCAGGTGGTTTCTCTTTGTGGTTCCCCGATGACACAGCTTTCTTCCTGACTAATCACGAAGTCCAACCGCTAGGCCGAGGGCCCGTTCCCACCCCGCACCCACCCGGGAGGAATCCACGGGCGTTAGGTCGGTCCTCGGGTGGGGGTGGGGAGGGAGGCAGGCCACGGCGTGCCGGGGACCGAGCCCGGCGGGCCGCTGCAGGCCCGGCCGGCGCCGAGAAGCCAAGGCCGCGGCCGCCCGAGGCCTGGAGGGGCCGGTCGTCGGGGCGTCCGCCCGTCCGGCTACGGGGAAGCGGCGGCCGTCCGCGCCCGGGGACGCGGAGCCGGCCGACCGCGGGGCTGAGGTAAACACGGGGCGAGGCAGTTCCGAGAGGCCGTCGTCCCAGCCAGCCGCACCCCGGACTCCCGCCGCCTTCACCTGCCACGAACACCACGAACACCGCGCCGCTCCTCTTTGCCGACGCGATGGCGGCCGGAATGGCGCCCTGGAACCACAACATCGCTTCGGTTGGACCCCGGACGCTCGGTCACAGTCAGCCGTCGCGGTCCGGGAGCTGGCCCCGCGCTCCCTCTTCGCCGGGCCCTGAGGCCCCGTCGACACCGCCAAGCCCGGCTGGACCGGCCCGCGCCTCGGGATCCGGCTCCGGCTCCGGCTCCGGCTCCGCAGCGGCGCGCCGCCCGCCAGCCGCTCGCTGAGACGTGCGCAAGCGCGTGAGGGCCGCGCCGAGCGACGTGACGCCAACGCGTCCAGGCCGCTCGGGGACCCAGCCCCTTGTCTCGTCGGCAAGTCGGTGCGTGCGCGCTCCCGACCGGAAGCCCCGCCTACCGGGAAGTGGAAGGATGAGTAACCGCCTCGGCACGCTTGGTGCTGCTGGCAAGAGGCATGATGGATATTGTAGTCTTCTCAGGCTTGTTTGGCTTCGTATTGTGGAAAGCAGGGCATTACGGACAGTCACGATGGCGATCCATGAAGAAGGGCTGGAGGAAGGGAAACGCCATCTGTGTTCTTGGCCTCACTGGAGTCCTAGAAAGGGGAGGATTTCGTCCCCACTTGAAACTAAATGGGCATTTTAGGAATTTATTTACAGGCTTTGGTTTTTATTGAACTGAGCCCAATCCTGTAGAAAAGACAGAATAAAACCAGCCACAGTTCCTTTCTGGATTACCCTACAGACCACGTGCATTGATGGCAGATGCTGGTAAAATGCAGGCTTTCAGTTTCCTAGACACTGAGTATAGATCATTCCCGAATGAATTTTACAGGTGTTTTCTAAAGTAAAAACAAGGCAAAAAAATCATGATTCCATTTCCAGCCATTTTTCATGTTAATGTAAAAGCAAAGTAGGGCCTGGCACAATGGCTCAGTGACTAAATCCCCACTTTGTGTGTGCTGAGATCCCATGTGGACACAGGTTCCTATCTCAGCTGCTGCACTTCCCATCCAGCTCCCTGCTTGTGGCCTGGGAAAGTGGTAGAGGATGGTCCCAGGCCTGGGGATCCTATACTGCATGGGAGACCCAGAAGAGGCTCCTTGGTTTCCAGCTTCCAATCAGCCCAGCTCTGGCCATTGTGGCTGCTTGGGGAGTGAATCATCAGATGGAAGATCTTCCTCTCTGCTCTCCTCTCTGTATATATAACTTTCCAATTAGCCCGGTGCAATAGCAGCCTAGTAGCTGAAGTCCTTGCCTTGGAAGTCCTTGCCTTGCTTCACAATCCCATATGGGCACCGGTTCTAATCCTGGCAGCCCCACTTCCCATCCAGCTCCCTGCCTGTGGCCTGGGAAAGCAGCTGAGGATGGCCCAAAGCCGTGGGACCCTGCACCCACGAGGGACACCTGGAAGAGGCTCCTCCTGGCTCCTGGCTTCGGATTGACTCAGCTCCAGTCATTGTAGCCATTTGGGGAGTGAAGCAGTAGAAGGAAGATTTTCCTCTTTGTCTCTCCTCTTCTCTTAATATCGGACTTTCCAATAAAAATAAAATAAGATCATTTAAAAAAAATAAAAAGAATATAAGTGGGTGAAATGCTCATTTTGTGAATCAGTTGTTCACAGGTGTTGTCTATATTTCCACTAAACTAGGGTCCTTTTGTTTTTAGTTGAATTTTTTAGATTTCTTTATTTTTATTGGAAAAGCAGATATACAAAGAGGAGAGGAGAGACAGAGAGGAAGATCTTTCGTCCGATGATTCACTCCCCAAGTGGCCCCAATGGCTGGAGTTGAGCCCATCCGAAGCCAGGAGCCAGCAGCTCTTCTGGGTCTCCCACATGGGTGTAGGGTCACAAAACTTTGGGCCATCCTCGACTGCTTTCCCAGGCCACAGGCAGGGAGCTCAATGGAAAGCAGGGCTGTCAGGATTAGAACCGGCGCCCATATGGGATCCTCGCATATTCAAGGCGAGGACTTTAACTGTTACACTACAGCGCTGGGCCCTTTAGTTGAATTTCTTATTGATTGAAGCACTTTATATTGTAAAATTAAAGGTTGTTATCTCAAAAACTAAAACTGGGGAGGAAGGGGTTGCAGACAAAGAGAGAAAAAGGAAGGAATTAAATTCTTACAATTGTATCTAAAAACTATATCAAATCTAAGAGTTTTTTTTGAGAAGGGAGAACAATGAAGTGTTGAAAGAATCATTTGTAACCCTTCACTCATCAAATGTTGCCCCTAGGCACTAGGCACTGTGCCTGGCAGTGCTGTGGTGAGGCATATGGGGTCCTCCCCACCTTTGTGACTACACAGTTGAAAGTAAACATTGAAGCAGTGATTGTGAGTGACCATGAACGCCACAGGAAGGAAAGCATAGGCATGTGGTCATGGGATCAGTGTTGTAGAAGCGTGTGATCATGAATTCAAACGTGGAGCAGCCAGGTCACAAAAGGCCTTCAGGAGGAAATGACATGAGGGGAAATCTAACCAGGTGGAAGGCCATTCCAGACAGAAGCAGCAGTACTGTGGAGGCTCCAAAGCAAGCACACACTGGGCACTTGAACTTGAAACAAATGCTCAGGTGACAAGAAAGAGTGTGGTGCAAATGAGGCCACAAAGATAGGAAAGCATCAAATAATCCAGGGCTTGGGAAGTCATGTTCAGGATTACAGATATTTGTCAAGATAGTGTATAGTCCCCAAAGAATTGTAAACAGAAGAGTGGCATCTAAAACATGTTTCTCCATGACAGCATCACACATGGGTTGGCTGGTGGCAAACTGGATGGATATGAAGAGACCAGGTGTAGAAGGACATTATGACCCTGGAAGGTCAGGGAGCACAGGGCATTAGGACAGGGTTAAATTCCTAGTTGAAAAGCCAGGTCCTGAACTGAACTCAATGCTGGCACGTATTCAGTAGTGTCTACTGCAATAAGATTCTATTGGACAGCAAACATACACAATCTAATCCTAGTTTTCTAGGAAAGTGCTGATAGAATTCTCAGCAAAGCCACTTGTGGTTATTAAGTCCTTGAAACATGGCTAGTGTAACAGAGAAACCAAATTTCTGTTTTACTCAGTTTTAGTTAATTTAGTTGCACATAGCTAATGGCTACCATTTGGATAGCTTCAGGAATTCTAATAAAATGCCTGCATGAAAGAATAGCAGACCTTTTTAGGCACATAGTGCATTGTAAACTGTGTTACATGCAATTATGAAAGGGGTACTAAGTTTAGAGCAGTTTCTGCAGATCGAAACCTGATGCTGGTTGTTTAATTTCTCCAAGCATCGCTATAATGCAGCTAGTGCTACTGATACCAATGCAAGATTTTAAACACGTGATGCGCTCAGGTGTGAATTATGGACATGTAGTGTTTCTGCTGTCTGGTGTGGGGTCCTTCACTTTATGATCACAGCACTGCCGTCCTCCTCCAAGTCGTCACTCTCAGTAGCTGTGGTCTGTGGAGTACTAAAAGCTTAAATACCACGTTTGCCTTCATCTGAGATGAAAAGTTGTTAATCTGGAAAATAATACCTGTATATTGTAATATTATTGCAATCTCTGACAGCCTGTAGCCAATGCAATAAGATAATGCATTGTAATCTATAAAACAACAATTAATGTGAGTAAGACTGCTTATGATCTACATCAAAGAACTGTAAAACCTAAAACACTCTTAACACCTTATGTTATTCTGTAATGGGGAGGGAATGCAGAAAAATCTTCCATCTCCCTAAAAAGTGAGAGGAAGACGTGAAATATAGGCTATCAGAATCAAACCTGATAACTCATAGACAACAGACTCGAGTCGGCACTAGACAATAGTAAAGCTACACAGGCATAAGGGGGGAATCGGGAGCGATCCTGACAGCCTCTTAACAGGAGGTCGTGCGTATGGAGCAGGGGTGGGACCCCAGAGTGGAGCGGGTGGACAGGAGGAGGCTCGTATCCCAACCCTGAAGACTCCCAGATGCTCACCAAGGACTATCAGTACAGACACCAAGGACTACATCCCAACTGCCAAGGAGACCATGGGGAATAGGAGTGCCTTCGGAGGCCGAGAACTCTGAGGTCACTCATCCCCATCTAGAGCCTCCACAGGGGATGGAAGAAGTCCAAACTCTGCCGTGTAGAAACCAGCGTCATCGGAACGACAACCAGGGACCCTAAGCAGTCTGCAGAAACAGAAGAATAATAAACTTTCTTCGGGACTAGGGAGGGGAGCTTTCTCTGGTCCTCACCTAGCTCTGGCTCTGGGTCCCCACCCTCTCTTGCGATCATCATTAGGATCACTCCAGAAACCCCTCAAAACAAACGAACAAACATACAAACAACCAAAAAAACCTAGAATGGACAGACAACACCAAGGAAAGCTTAGAATCAGACATGAAAGGGTCAGCATGGATTCACTTATACCTCACTAGGTGGGACACAAAGATTAGTTACGCCTCACTGGAGTATTGGGGATTTCTCCGCACACCCCTCCAAAAAAAAATGCTTTTTACCTAAACATGATGACACATATCTTGCTATAGTTATAAGCCAATTCAGACCATCTGAAAAACAATTAAGTTCAGCAAAATCATGTTTCAACACTATAAACAACTAAATACTAAAATAAAAACAGACAAGACAGCTGAATAGTAATCTATAGCCATTTTGAGGTGTATGGAATCCAGTTGAATATAAACCAAAATTGAAATGTCTATGAAGAAGTCACAGGATATAGTTAAGGACCCACATTTTCCTATTAACCTATTGTTAATCAATACCATGTCAATTAATGCCATAAGGTTGTAAATGGTTGTTGATGTTATGTCGGGGCTTTTAATTGATTGGGATGATACTTTGCCGGCTTTACTTTCAGACCAGAGATGGTCTCACCAAGAAATCGTTGAACCCACCAGGATAAGATGATGCTGGACCTTACGCTTGATAAATACTTCCAATGAAAGAACCTTAACTGAATTTGAACTATGGTAATGCAGCAAGGTGGAGAAATCCACCATAGGGAGAGGGTTCGAGGAGGGTTGGGGGGAATCCCAGTGCCCATAACACTGTGTCACATAATGCAATGCAATTAATAATAATAAAAAAATACTATCCTCCCCAGAGGGAACCATTTGATCCAAATTGGCCAACCTATTTTTTCTGACCACTGCTGGGGTCCATGAAGATTCTTGACCCAAGATACATTGGTGACATTCAATTTTAGAGAACTTGGTAGGCATTTGTGAGAAAGCAC